CTGTCATCCTCCTTGCTTGAACATACATCGGCCTGTAATTGGTAGTAGACAATTACCATGACAACTAGGCATGCTACTGCCACAAACACACTAGGTAGAACCATCACGTTGAAAGGAGCACGCATACAGTGTTAAACAGTTTTGTTAAAACTCATAGAAGTTAAACTTGTAAACAGTTGGTGCATACACCCAGCTTCATTCCCCTCCAACAGGAAAATTCTCACGATACTTGATCTTCAATACGTTTACACATGCATTCCAGTTTGAATCACTCCTAATTGCTACTTCAATCTGTCACTGTATCACTGTAAACACAACTGAAAGTCTTCAGGCGTTGTCTGATGCACTCTCTTGCAACATATGGCAACTCCCCCAATGAAAAGTATGTGACCACAAAACTTATCTGTTTCTGTGTCAAATGCAGTGTTTTTGAGGTGATGTGATCTTTTGCGACATGTATGGCGATAGGCTTGTTTGCCGTCGTCCCTGATATTGGTTCCTTAATTGACCATGGTATCGTTTGAACAAAACTACTGTATCACACGGTAATTGTGAGTGTTGTTTGCTATTTCGTACAGTAGTAGTGTGGATGATATACTATGTGTGTAAATCTGGCACATGTCGTTAGAGGTGGGACAAGCAACAGCTTGGCCGACAATCGATTAATCCGTATCAACTGTACTACAATGAATGGTCAGCGTGTTTAGAGCCGAGACATTTGGTGAATGTTTTAACTTTTTTATTATTATTAACATTAATGCGTTTTAATACATTTTAGGTGGATATTTTAAAGAAAAATTCTATTGCTTCTCAAAAACAAATCAAAATATATCTGCCACGAAGATAACTGTTTTCTGATGACTTGAGAAAGAATACGGATTGAAGTATTGGAAGCATGATATAAGACTGGTAGATGGCAGATTTCAGTTCCTTATTGACAAAAACAGCAATAAAAAAACTAGCATGTTAATTCTGCAAGTTCAACCTCAAAATATATAAAACTTTGACAATACATGAGCAAACAAAATAATCCGACAGATACCCTTTAAAAGAGCAAGGAGAATAAGATCAGGTGCTATGGAGTCATCAGCCTCGTCGACGACACCCTCCATTAAAATGTTGGTCAGTCCAGCTTAGTAATATCACGTTCTAAAAAAAGAACAATGTTATACTCTAACATGTTCTGTATAACATTTACTTTGACAGGGCAATAGCAATAAGACATGGAAGTTACAAAGAAGATTCAGTTTCAATAATGGTATCAAAATTAAGAACACCGAAGCTAAACCTAATAAACCAGTACATCGCAATCAACTAGAAGTTACTAGACTGTTTTATAAGTGATATCGTAAAGTTTTCTCAAAAAATGTTTAATATGTAAAACTTTCGAACAACATATTTTTTTCAGAATGAATGTGATCACTTATAACTACTAGATCGATCTTAATTGATTTTTTTTATTAACGATTGAACAAATGCCAATCTAATACATACAATGTATTTTTACCACAAGCTGTTGTTAGTTGTAATTCAATTAAGTGTGTTACTTTGACGTCTACATACCAACGCTTTAGGACCCTAACACCATTGAAGAATGATAGGAGGACGAAACAACTGTATGATGCTGTTAATTCAGTATACATGGTTTAGGAGCCTGACATCATTGATGAATGGTAGGAGGATGAAACAAACTATTTAATTCAGTATTTCACTGTATTTGCCCTGTCTAATACTTGACTTGTCACTTCTTGGGTTCCCACTTTTAAGAGATGACATGTTTCCTAATGTTTTACTGACCTCATACATATATAATATTTTAGGTGAAACTTTACTATAAATTATTTATAATCATTTATCAAATTACAGCCTTACAGGCATTTATTTATGTATATTATGCATATATGTAAAATTTTCGAAAATAAAAAAAAAAGATAAAAAATCACAGCCTCCTTTGTGTAAACGAGAGAGGACCATTGTCTCGAGAGTAAAAATGTACTGTCGAGGTCGAAAATCGCCTGCTCAAAGGAAGGTCTCAAGGTCTGAGAAACCTTAAGGGTCTTATATGGCAGTTAACGAACTAATTCGTTGGGTTAAGCTATCCACTAAATGGTTGGTTAAATCAATCCACTCATTGGTTGACTAACCATATCCGCTCATAAGCTGATTAAATCTATCGACTAATTGGTTTATTAAACACATCCACTCATTGGTTGATTAACCATATCCACCGATTGGTTGATGAAACATACCACTTATCGGTTGGTTTAACCATTCCCAAATTGGTTGGTTAAACCAATTGGTTTATTAAACCAATCCACTCATTTGTTGATTTAACATATGCGTTCCACTGATTGGTTGATTAAACCAATCTGTCCACTCATTGGTTGATTAACCATATCCACTAATTAGTTGATGAAACCTACCACTTAAACCTATCCAATGATTTCGTTTGTCGTGATGAAGTAATGAACATCGTTTATTATATGCTATATTCCATTGATTTTTTTAATGCGATGCACAATAAGATTGTTTTTCATTTTGATCACTCCATTTGAGCTTAAATTATGTTGAAGACCCAACTTTGTTTCCTGTCCAGGTCGTCAAAGACTGATCTTTTGGCCATGGTATAGATTGTCTCGTGATAGCAGAAGTTCCCAAGCAGTGGAAGCAGTTTGCATCAAATTTCCTCTTGTAGAAAATTTTAAAGAAAGGTGCAACCTTCATTAAAAATATATAAATCTTTATTCATAGTCTTCAATTTAAAATATATTAAAACGTAGATAACTACCACAGTCCTTCTGATTATCATACAACATGAACATATATTATCTATTTAATCAAAGTTAGTTCCTTAAACCCACTGGTTCTCCGGCTATCATGGAGAATGACGATATATATGGCAATATATCAACCTCAGAATGTTCTCTGTATTATTCATCTTTCATCTATAATATCAGAGTAGAAACAAATACGATTAAGCATAAAGAATAACTGTCGACGTGAACAGATACAGACATCATGTCCCAATTGTTAAAAAAATGGGTTAGAGTTAATCAGTTGTTCATGAAAATCTGCCAAAACAAATTACACAAAATTGAGAAAATTTATCTTTTCACTGTTTCAGATTAGTCAAAACAAGTCAAATTGATATTTTAAACTTTTTTTTTCAATTATTTGCTTTTCAGTGTCAACAATTTAACTTCTTTACTAACCACTGATTAACTAACCATGCTTTGAGTAACTGGGGCCTAGTCGTCCACCAGATCAAATGTACTACTGTTAGGGATAACACCACTATGAAATGCCAGTTTAACATATATTCAATTATTTTACCAATCTTTAAATACTAGTAGGTTTAATTGAATTAAAAAAGAAGAAAATGATGACATTTTATTGGAATCATAATTCGGACACAACTCGATGATATACACGGAGACTCCTGAAAAAGTTCAAGCGGAATGAGACCAGGCCCAAATTGTTCAAAGGCTGGTTAGAGACAACAGTGGTTAGTGAAAATGTTCAAAAATTAATTAAACAAAATTGGAAACATTTTTTTTATTTCACTGCTCTAGGTTTGTTGAGACAGGTCAGATTGATATATTTGGAGTGTTAATTTTGTATTTAAGATCCTTGTTAGATCAGTGGCAACAAGTTAGTTTTGCACTAACCACTTGTTAAATCTATCTATCTTTTGAGAAGCCGGAGCCAGGTATTCAGGAAGAGCGGGCGTCTTCTGCTTCATTGACGACACCCTCCATGTAATTGTTGTGTTCCTGAATGAGAACAAAGTAAGTAACAAGAAAACCGTCAGGTATACTAATGATCAGCAAACACAACTAGCTGCGTATTACACTGAACAGTAAAATATTTCTTGATGAGATCGTCATGACGACCAACCGTAAAAATTCACAACAATCTTCATCAATCTGAATATTTCTTGATGAGGGTTTTCAACCTATGTATTTACATGACGACCAACCGATTTTCGTAAAAATTCACAACAATCTTCATCAATCTGCATCTCTTTTGACTTTTCGTTTGGTTGTTGTATACCTTTTTCTCATTTGAGAACGTGACATTACTTACTTTGATTGGACAAGATTTACATGGTGTGTTTCGTCGATGAAGCAGAAGACGCTCACTTTTCCGGAACACTTGGTCTTGTTCTCCTTGTACTTTTTCATATTTTGCCCTAGTTTTATGGAATTTGAGTTTGAGTTATGATTTTGTTGCCATGTACGTATTTTCTTGATTTTTTTTCAAATAATTGAAAATATGTTAAATCGTTGTTCCCTACACTACCAGCAGAAATATAGTGTAATTAGGTGAAAATGTCATCGCCAACAGTGTTGATATTTGAATGGAAATTCTAACACAAAATAATAAACAAGTTGCAAAGACTGCGTACAAAGATTTAGAAACAGAGAGGTGTAGGGGATGCTGTTTTACAGTTAGGGGATGCTGTGTTACAGTTAGACTGAGTGGGACAAGGCTGACAAGGTTGGGCTGGAGACGCCATATCAATCATCTAGATATAACACACCAGTGTCCAAATTTTGAGGGGTATACCCTTGACATACACATAGGTACTCAAAGGGCAGTATGACATCTCTTCGTATGACTGATGAAAATGAAACGGTTTTGAGAAATTAACTTTTCAATGAATAACTGTTCCATGGTAGAGTTACACAATCAAATAAAATGAATACATTAATTGAACAAATACAACTGAGTCGCTAAAGCTATTCCAGACAAAATATATTAAACTTTGCATATGTATATATAGGTACTTAAATGATGATAATATAAAAGATTTAAAAAGTACTCCTGAATAAAATGAATGAAAATGTCCTATTCTGCCTCTAACGTGCCGCGACGTAATAAAGCTTGACTAGATTCAGATATGATAGATCAAGCTGATTGCACATATTTTGGCGTAAGGTATATGAATCACAAACTGGAAGCTCTGTAACCATCGTCCGACTTTCACGTTCCAAACGCTACCTCTTGGCCCACAGTACATTGTCTGGCCAGAACGAGGCTCTTCCCAGAGGTAGCACTTCTCGTAAGTTGTAATCTAGATATGGCAATAGACCATTTCTCACTAAAAACTTGATAATTTTATCACCGCTGGGTTTGCCTTTGTGTAACATCCATTCCATCAATAGAAACTTGACATTCACCTTATTGAAAAATTCCTTACTTTTCTCTAAAGCTTTTTGTTCGTGACCTTCAATATCCATTTTGATAAATACTTCTCCTGAGTTGATGACTTCTAAAAGATCATCCATTGTAATGCTGTGTACCACTTCCTCTTGTTGTACTGTCTCGTCGTGCTGCCGTACATGGCTGCCACCGATATTGTCAGATACTACATTGACCTTGACCTTTTCCCGCGTGTTTGACACTGCATTCAATATAAGAGTTACGTTTTCTGTCAGGTTTCCTAGATTTAAAGAATGTTGCAGGTTGTCCAGTGCTCGCGATAGGATGTCAACGGACACCACTTTTCGACCGAGTTTGGCCACTGAAATAGTGAATACTCCAAGATTACATCCAAGGTCAAGAAACTTCATTGCAGGGTTGGCTTCCATTATCTCAACGGTCATATTCACCAAGTCTGGTTCCCATGTACCGAAATCCCGGATGTAGGAGCTGATCATGCGATCTTCGGCTGGATCAAATATACAAATAGGGGTTTCCCCTTTAACCGTTTTTAAGGGCACGCAGTGTTTCGGGGCTTTGGTAGAGCCCCGGAAAACTTTACACTGACCCTTCCTCCGCTTCTGTGAGTTCGACGTATACTTGTTTTGGACTGTTTCTCCATCTTCCGGCTCCAGGAATTGGCTGTGAACTTTGTGTTCAATTCTGGTCACGTCTATAAAATCTCTCTCCTTCTCACTCTGTCGAGTTTTTGGTTTAAATTTCTTCCTCGTAGACACTGATAAACGAGTGACAAATACAGTGGCGATTAACGTAAGGGCGACGATGACGTAGGCCACAGTTCTACATCGCAGCCGCCCAGGATGTATGTCGACCATTTCATGCTCGACCTACGTCGGCCGCTTATCACAGGTAGCGTCTCGATCTCGTCTCCATGTTACCTGTGAGATATATTAAAGATATGTTAATTAAGTAAAATTATATATGACATTAAACTGTCAACTGTGTACAAATGCTGTTGATTTTGTATACGTTTATACAGTAGCTATAGTATATCTGATACTGGTCTGATATTAGACAAAGTTTGACCCACAATGTTTTTCGTGTATATTTGCCGTAGTACTATCATATCAGGATCAAACGTTACATTACCTTGATACGTCAGTTAAGCTGATTATACAGACAACGTTCACTTGCTATGCGAATTGTACAAGACTCTCTCTATCAAGGCATGATGTAATGCATACGATCGTGTCTAATGTAAGCCTTAACTATATTGATTTCGTAGTACATAACTAGCACTGTACTGCACCGAGAGTACAGAACGTGGAGTTTCTAAAGTAATTTTGCCTCTTAATACCTCTCAAGAAAAATTGATGATTAGATTATTAAACTCTGTTTTCCCTTATTCCTTCATGCTCCTTGAGGACCAGAACTGAAACTCATCTAACCGTCACAGGTTTAATTCCGTATTATGACACGGAGAGATCCCCTCTGGTGCCCCATACAGGTAGACGACCGCGGCGATCATTGAATTACTTCCCTTCTTTGAAAGGTATATCCATCTATTCTATCAGTATGTTGCAAAAAAGTGACTTGGAGGCATACCCAGAATGACGTGTAAACACAAAGCAAAAACCAACAAAAAACAAATTGAGAGAAATTCCAAGCAATCTAAACTATATAATACCCGGTAGCACGTCCACCTGGTACAATTGGGAGTTTCCTGATACTAAGGGGTCATGTCAGTTCATGACATGAGCGGGAGGTAGCCAGAGAAATAAACTCACCTCAGCTCTTCATGTTTGTATTAATACATTGCATACATATCACGTGTGTAATTAGCTTGGTGGAACATGAAACAATCAAAGAATGAACCGTTGTAGTTGTGTGTAATCATCTACCTTCTGTTTGGAATTCCGACACGTGGCGTTCTTCCAAATGTAAACACGGTGTCCTGTAGGTACATGATAATATGTCCAATCTTGACCACGTCTTGACTGTGATGATTGTCCCCGGGACCATCAAGGGCGGTGACAGGTATAGCTTTAGGCAGGTGACATAACATTCCAACCACACGGCAGCTTTAAGACATGCATATATTTAAGTCTACCTGTGGTGGGGCCCGACAAGGGGAGTGTTTAACCTAATCAGATTATATTCGTACCGTCATAGGATAATTAATATGTCCTTCACGTGGTTGAGTTCAATGTGATATCGCTTGAAATCGATAACGCTTCTTGCTGACATTAAAGTACAAAATGTATGATCATGGCAAGGGTCTACTCTTTACGTTTTCATCAAATGGAAACAAATACAACGATAATTCCGATAAATATAATCAAAACACAAAGTTTCCTTCCGGTATCCCAGGCGATAAAACCGTTATACTAATCACAGATTATACGTAATATTTACACTGTGTAATACGGTCGTGAAGGTAACTTGTGTTATTTATTTCGTTGTCCGTTTAAATAGTGTGTAACATCATAACTATTAAATACGGCCAGTTACCTTGTTTTTCAGGATGGGATTATAAACCATGCGAAAGGAAACAACACGAAAACTCATATGGAGTGTATGTTGCTTATATTTTTTAAAACAAGGAAGGATTTGGAATACTGATAGTATTTAAATAATTAAATCGTGTTTGACGGACATATGTGAGATTTAAGTGCCTAGACTAAAGGATTTTAATAAAACAATTAGTGTTTTAAAGAACGAAAAGAACTACCAAGGGTATATATGCATATGGAATTTTGTAAATAAAAATGTTCCTTTTTGTTTTTTTGTTGACGTGTTAAAGCGATAATATGCACGTGAAACTATGATAAAGAAATATTTACATACAGACTTATCTTGTAAGCGATTCAAATGATTAAAATTTCTAAACGGACATTTTTTTAATGTTTTGTGTACTAGAAAACGGGAATTACGCAACGGTCCGAAAAAACAGGTATAAGGCTCCTTGCTCCTGATCTAGCTGCTGTAACAGGTATATATTACGCTAGCTACTGATTATTAATGTTTTACTGTATATAAAATAAACTTTGACCCCTATATCTGATCGAATGATAAAGCACCCGATACCACATTCATACACACCGAGTACATCTTACAGATAAGTACACATGTGATTACAGGTGATACACATGTGTGATGTGATAACGGGTACCATTGTCTCAACTCTAATGGCTACCGTGTGAACTCCCCTATTTACATCCACCCAACAACAGTAATGGCGGTAAGTACGGGTACAATGGAATGATGTGTATTAATTTTATATTAATTGGTCGTTAATATAGATCTACTCAGGCTATATAGGAAACATAGATGTTCTCACTGACATATCGAACGCCTTCTAATCAGGTGTTATGTGGACTAGTAATATCGGTATAGTAGACAGTCCCGATATGAAATTATACTGGAACTTCGTGTTCCTGTATACATGTATTTAACTTCCTTAAAATAATTAACAAACATAAATTTGTTTGCAAATATTCATATATGCTTATCTGTACTTTATATAAACATATACTCTCTTATCTTCATTATTTTTGTACACCAAAATAAATGAACACAATACGTCTAAATCATACACATTTACGGATTACGAAATCATAAACATGATCGAGTTTCCGGTTAACCTTCGTCGAATTTGGTGTCCAAATTTTTCACCAGACTATTGGCGTTCTGTTGGCTTACTTGTTTTTGTTTTCATACGAGGCTAAATAAATAGAAGTGTTATCAAAACAGTTCACAAATTGTGAAGTCCTTTAATTTCACTTTCAGAAATACTGGTGACGTATTATCTATAAATAACAATAATTTATTGGCCATCTCCACCGTATATACCCACCAAATTTGGAAATCAGTGACGCAACAAACTTTTCTGCATTATTCGCTTACCTCGATGTTTTCCTACATTGAAACCAACAGGGACAACTATCCACCGAGCTGTATGATAAATTCAATCATTTCAATATCCCTGTTATGAATTTTCCATTGTTGGATAGCAACACCTGCGCATTCCCGACCTATGGTGTTTACATGTCACAGTTGATTCAATATTCTAGGACCAAGTCTCAACATCACGATTTCATGAAAGATGTCGGGAACCGACAGACAAACTCACACAAGCAGGGTTTCAAGAGAAGAGTAGGGGAATTTATGAAGTCGTCATAATGAGCTCATTGATAAATATTCTATTTCTTTGAGCGATGCTGAGCTGGATATGTTTGATGCTCGTTAATTCATGTGTTTCTGTTGTTGTTTTCCTTGTTTTCATTTGGAAAGTGACATTACTTGCCTGGATTAACCAAGATTTACATGGCGGGTGTCGTCGATGAAGCAGAAGACCCTTACCATTCCGGAACATTTGGCCTTATTATCCTTGTACTTTTATGTCTCCGTGCACATCTTTCTTTTGCTCTTATTTTGTGTTTGAATTAAGATCCCGTTAATGTATATATTTCTTAAGCAATACACATATTTGTGAGCATGTCCACATTTTCACTTTTCCATCATGTTATTTTCAGTGGCTGTCCGTCTTTGTAATGGCCTCTGTCCTGGTGACCGCCATTTCTCAGCAGCAGGGACATCATTGTGATGCCTTCAATTCGATGACAACATACCCGAGTAAGTCTGGACGTTTTTTTTTTCGAAATTAAGAACAATACATTTATTTAGATAATGTAATAAAGATAACATTACTCGTTAATTATAATGTATTTGCCGCATCTGTCAACATCCAAAGTGCAGAATTGGAATATCGAAACAGTTTAACACTAAGGACAAACTACTGCATACCGACAATTGTAACATTCCGCTTTTGGGTTAACACAGTATAGCACAACCACATTTTGTGCCCTTGAAATTTGAACATACACACAGATGAAAAAAGTAAATTCTCTGTTTCTTAGCTTATTATGTTACATGAAACAACGATAAGAAGTTTACCAATTTCTGTTTGAGAGCAAGATGCATCATCGAGTCTAATGTGTTAACCATTTGACAGTTTTCCATAGTTTTGACCAGTCAAACAGTATTTCGTAGCTTATGTGTTGACCAGTTGGCCGATGGCTTGTAGTTGCATGTTTGACATGTTATCCATTCTAATAGTATTTAGTAATTGCCTGTTCCACGTGTTGACCACTCTACCAGTATTCAGCAGCTGTCTCGTTAACGAGTTGACCATTCCAATAGTATTCTGTAATTTTCTGTTTCACGTGTTGACCATTCCACCAGTAATATGTAATTATCTGTTTCACATGTTGACCATTCCAATAGTATTCTGTAATTTTCTGTTTCACGTGTTGACCATTCCACCAGTAATATGTAATTATCTGTTTCGCGTGTTGACCATTCCACTAGTATACAGTGGTCGCCTGTAGCATGCAAGGTAGTTGTCTTTCTAATACGCTGTCCCTTTTACTTCCTATATTATCACCAGGTGTCCAAGGATATGTTCCTAGTTTACCAGATCTGCCTAACAGCTTCCAGACAAACATCGAAGTGAACATGATTGAATTAAACACAACCAAGGACATCATTGTGTACTTTGACAATTTAGGCAACAGAGCGGCACTCGTCACCTACAGGAACGGCGAAGAAAACCGCATTATACTTAATTACGAAACAAATGAATTGTACAATGTGACAGGTAAGGTCTATACTATATATTCAAAAGGATATAAGTGTCTTACCAATGCCAATATAAACAATAGTATTATCATATTATCATGCCATCATTTATACGTACTGACGTTGTCATCAACAAAAAGCTTATTTAACACTTTTTTTAAGTTGAAAGAGGGAAAAAAACGCATTTAAAGTAAAATTCGTTGATGAAAATAATATGAACTCAATGGGATGAATTCTGCTTCTAATATACGTTGTCTTAATTTTAGTTCATCTTTCTGTGTATTCCATTTATTAATTTTGATTCTGTGATGATTTTCAAAAATATTTAATGTTTCTCTTGAAGTTGAGTAAATGCTCTTCTGTAGATGGAGTTTGTCTTCTCTCATCACTGTCAGACAGCCTGTATGCTGACGTGTTTGGTGTATATGACTCGGACGGTTACAATCATATCTTGTCTAGTGACACTGCCCTAAAGTTTGGTAAACAATATGGAGAGGTAAACAAACATCAAAATACATTGATTAACCCTGTACCACTGTCCAAAAGATGGTCAATTAATACACCACAAATATAGATCATTATTTAACATCATTGACTTTAATTATCTTTATTCTGTTTTTTTTCTTCTGTTAATTTTCGTTTTGAACGGAAACATCCCGATTAGTTCCCTCTCGATTCAGTGTTTGATTGCGATTTCGGCTTTAGAAACACTGATTTATCCCCCCTTATGATTACTCTCTCTCAGACTTTTTGGCTTCAAAACATAGAATTACCTGACTGAAACAAGATATAAAAAAGTGTTGTTCATCTTCCTGGATCCTTTTATTTCTTAGGCCTATCAAAGCGTCATTACAACATAGGTACCAAACACACGCAATGTTTTATGACAATTATTCAAGATTCAACAACATTAGGAACTATTGTAATTACGTCATCAATTAATCTATTAGTCGCATCAGACGAAATACCACTACAACACAGGAAGGAGGAACTAATTCTAAATTAATGGACCTGAACTCGTACTCTAAATTCTGAATTAATAGATCTGAATTCGTACTTTAAATTCTAAATTAATGAACCTGAAGTCATATTGTAATTCTAAATTAATGGAAATGAACTCGTACTCTTAATTCTAAATTAATGGACCTGAACTCGTACTCTAAATTCTAAATTAATGAACCTGAAGTCATATTGTATTTCTACATTAATGAACCTGAAGTCATATTGTAATTCTAAATTAATGGAAATGAACTCGTGCTCTTAATTCTAAATTAATGGACCTGAACTCGTACTCTAAATTCTAAATTAATGAACCTGAAGTCATATTGTATTTCTACATTAATGGACCTGAAGTCGTATTGTAATTCTACATTAATGGACCTGAAGTCGTATTGTAAGTCTACATTAATGGACCTGAAGTCATATTGTAAGTCTACATTAATGGACCTTAAGTCATGTTGTATTTCTACATTAATGAACCTGAAGTCATATTGTATTTCTACATTAATGGACCAGAAGTCGTATTGTAATTCTACATTAATGGACCTGAACTCGTATTGTAAGTCTACATTAATGGACCTGAAGTCGTATTGTAATTCTACGTTAATGGACCTGAAGTCGTATTGTAATTCTACGTTAATGGACCTGAAGTCGTCATCTAGAATCTAAAGTCCCACACTACAAAAGTCTCAGAAATCCCAAAACCAATTAGGTTGGATTGGAGGTATATTTTGTATAGGAAAAAGTCGAAATTATCTAATAATTTATCAGTGTGTTCTCATACAAAATCATAAAACGTCATCTATATGGACAGGTGTATGGAGTCTGAACAGAATAATATACAGAAATTTAGGACACTCAAGAGGTGTGATTAGTGTTTCAATCCGTTGAATGACTCGGAATGGAACGTGGAATTGCTACCATCTCTACTCTATACACTAACCACTAACATACAGTCCGGCGGATGGGACTGTAACCGGCGGTCCTTATGAGAACCGTCCTCGCAGGACTGAAAGAGCAGGCGCGACATACTCGGAGAAATAGAGATAAAAATAGGTCAGAACTGTTATATTAGGAGATTAGAAAGACTTTGATTATGTTTAGACAACATTAGGACGGGGAACTATTCAATATCAATAATTATCAAAACCTATCGCACATGGTTCCAGCCCATGAGGAGGATGCAGGTCGCACCTTCACGTCTCGAAATCAAATAATGTGTGTCGGAGAGACTAGTGATAGGCAAGGACATGAGGAAAATCTTATAACTTATTCAAATTTAGAATTTTCCTCGGGTTTCATCGAAATTATAAAGACTGTCTAATAATAGAAACAAAACTTAATCAAAAGAATGTTATATAAATAACAGACTCGCTCCTCAAAATTAAACTGATTACTGCCTGGGACATTCTGAGACAAAATCAGAATCAAAATCATTCACATACAAATATCCTGGTTCACATCAATTTCGCCAACATTGATTTTCACTACAACTTTGAGCGGAGGGCGATCTTGGTGTACCAAATCCACAGACTTGATATCGGGAAAGAAATTTCAATCTTTTAGTAATACAATTTGATATTGAAGGAAAACATGATGTTCCCTCTCAAACTTTAAAATTAGGGGATCAAATGTATTTGGCTGAGATTCTGTCCACAGCAAGACAAATTAAACACAGGGAAAATAACATTATTTATCTAATTTTTGCTCAAAGAAATCAGCTTGATTTCAGGGAAATGTATGAATGAGTTTTTCAACTTTTATCATTGTTTTTATCTATAGAAATATATTGGCAAAGACGTAATCGGAGGTATTGCTGTATACCATTGGCAGGCATGTCTATACTGGGCTAGAGAAAACGCCAACTTTACAGTCGACTACTACTTTTCAGGTAAATTATTGTCCACTTTACCATGGACTGTTTCTCAGGTCAATCCCTGTCGTCTTTACTATCGACTACTACTCCTCAGGTAAATTATTGTCCACTTTACCATGGACTGTTTCTCAGGTAAATTATTGTCCACTTTACCATGGACTGTTTCTCAGGTAAATTATTGTCCACTTTACCATGGACTGTTTCTCAGGTAAATTATTGTCCACTTTACCATGGACTGTTTCTCAGGTAAATCCCTGTAGTCTTTACTATCGACTACTACTCCTCAGGTAAATTACTATTTACTTTATCATGGACTATTTATCAGGTTAATTTTCGTCTACTTTATTTTCGACAACCTCCCAAGATTCAACACAATTTTTTTCATTGGGGGACATTTACGCATGGTTGTAAAGTTATTAGCATGTAATGCGAATACTGTACAGAGAAAGTTGTTTATGTCTGAAATTTTGTTTGGTGGAAGTTCCGGGCTGGCAGACATCATCAGACTTTGTGACAGTGCCTGTGCGGGCGGATGTAAAGGGCATCCTGAACAAGCCTTCCGGACCACAGAATTTCCAGCACGTGTATGACTTTTATGCTTTTAAACCTTTCGCCGGAGATGATTCACTGTTTGAGGTAAATACAATGAAGGGGTATATCACTATATATTATGTTTTGGTGTGGTTCAAAAGTATGATTAAATGTCTTTGTGAACATGTGATGGACTGTTTTGAGCATAAGATGTGAAGCAATTTAAACATAATGGAAGAAAAGAGAGCTTTTTAATGGCCTTACGGATTAGCCCCCGTGATTGTACTGAATTTCACACTAGTAACGAGGGAAAAATAAAAAAAGATAATGAAGAATGTTTGTTTTTTCGCCAGACGCCAGCTGGAGTGATATGTCCTGGGCGACAACAGACCAGACGGATACCTTCCTTACCAAAACAGTTCTACTACAGACAGGAAGTTGTCTCCCCTGAAGACGGATACATGACGTCTGTCGACGTAAGTCAATGTTGCAGGACATGGGAATATCTAGAATTACATGTTAATTATAAAAATGATTCATAAATAGAGGATCAAACATTAGGCAATGACATATAAAACTGTAGAACGAATTTGATAAATCTTTTACTATACCGCCACGAGTGTGATAATCTATTCATCATATAATCCATATTTCTGAAAAAATATACTCATTTCGACGCGAACGGTACGTTTTTCATTACCGGGACAAGCATGTGACGTCATCAATACATGAATTATTTATGACGTCACAACAAGTTTATGTCATGAAATATGCATATTCATATTTCTATGATATTCCAAAAAACAAAAGACGGGAGAATAACATTATATCGGCGAACCATTCGACAGTTATTTTGAAAATTTTGACTTTGATATTGTAATCTGTAATTAATTTTTGTCATTTTGATACAGGTGTGGTATGATGAGGCCTACCGACTGGTCAGGATAGACTATCGCCCACTAAGACTAGGTCCACCTTTCTATAACATCAACCCCATTACACAAATAGACGACTTCTACGGAGGTAATATACTTATATTCATAACAAAACTTCACCATATTATTAGCAATCAAAATTCAAATGTTACATAGGCATAACTAACTAATAACTACAAGACTCGCAAAACATCACTTTCAAACACAAAGGGTTGCGAAAATCCAGTTCGCTGCGTGTCGCATAAAAATAATAATCAGATATGTGTAGTTCAATCGTTACTCCGTAGATTGTTTCCCATGTCGCTGCGATCATGAAGAGTTCTGGGTTGTCGCAGTTGAATCCATAGGAAGTGTAGGAAATCTTATTCTGTAAAGTATGAGATGGACCTCCTATTTTGTTTTCAGAGAGGTTGATATCTGCTATTACAAGGAGGCTTCTCTCTAAAATATGCTATTCCCGAGCAATAAACATAGCAAGCAATCACTACCGCGATTACTTCACAATCACTACAAAACTCACTATCGCAAAATCTTAATGACAAGACATAAATTGCCATACAGGAAACTCACGAACATACATGATTAAGGTAAAGGTTCCACATGTTTTATCTTCCCTTGTAAACATACCCCGGGTATTCTCAGTACTGGTTCTCGCGTCATTTCGATTTTGACATTTTGGATTTTCACCATTTCTTGCTATTTACTATTTCCAAATTGCCGATACTTTTCTTCTATGGTCTATTTTCACTTACTGTATTGATGACTCTTCCCTGACAGAGAAGTCGAAAGAATACTGGAAGAATTTAACCAGTCAGTCTTCCAGTCATAAGTCAAATTTTCAATGTAGTAAAAACTATTGCATACGGCAAGTACCGCTAAATGTAGGAAACTTGTGATAGACCTGTCTTGATAGAAATGTGTTTTGTAGGTGTTAGGTACCTCAAGGACAACATACTGGGGAACTGTACCATTATGGCATTGGATAATGCGACGTTTGGTGTCATGGAGAACCAGACACTGCTTCACAATAACGGCAGCTTCTTACTCCAGATGAAGAACCCTTTACAGCTCTTCAGCCTCAACAAAAACTTCACATTTGTAGGCCAGGTCAGTCTGGCAGTTGATTCACCCCTTCTGACCTCCTTTCTTACGTAGAATGGATATTTTGGAAGTTTTATAAACTCTGATAATATTTCCCGTAGAATTGGCTTGGATGATATTTGATTTCTGTATAATGTTGGAGCATATCGATTTGGAATTTTGAAAATGGAAGCAGTAGTATGATTAAGTCTAAATCTTACTTGTTCGCAGGGTCTGTGTGGATTTTTCATAAGAGTAGGATAAGGTTGAGGGGATGGTTTTCAATTTTCTTACAATATTGAATATTGCGAATTTTTATAACACTTTTTACCACTTTATTGATTCAACTCAAGAATGCTTATTATCAATTATATCAGTGAAAAGAAAAGATGTTGATAATTAATGCAATTCGTTTTCCGTATTAGTCACAGCACCGTATCTTGATATCACTTTTGATCTGATATCATTCATTAAACAGTAGTATTAAATTCTAGTCATGGTAATCAGAAAAGAAGCGTATTAAATACTTATCACACATTGATAATTAAATCCAATGAGTTCTTCCACTTTACCAGAGGAGATGTCGTGAAATGCAGTGTAACGTGTTCTCGTCCGTAGTGACAAACTTCCAGGTTGATGGAACGAACCAACCCATCAATGTTACTATAGAGGCTTACTTCCTGGGTGTAAGTATAAGTAGGTTCACAATGTTTGATCATTTGACTCGGTCAGGATTTAGTTTATAAACATGTCATTAACTCCATTTTAATTTTAAACTTTATAAATCTGTACAAATCTGTATAAATAAGTACAAACTAATTTTTTCTTGTAGAGAGAAATGTATGACGTGCCAAATCATGGGACAAACAGTGATGAAGGAGTTCCCGTCCAGTTGACCGTCAGCAGCGACAGTGAGACGGTAGGTTACCTCTTTGTAACATAAATATATTGTGTACTAGATCACATTAATAAAGCTGGAGTTTTAGGAGAGAATATATACCACCTACCCGTGAAAGACAGAATACCTACCCGTAAGATGACGGGTAAAGAGGACTTGCCCCATGATGTGATCGTGACTTCTACAAAGAGTAAACACTGAGTTAACATGGCCACAGACCTCATCAGGACCTACCGATAATTGAATACTGTCTTATCCAGAGACTTCACCAGGACCTACCGATAATTGAATACTGTCTTGCCCAGAGACTTCATCAGGACTTATAGATAGGAGAATACTGCGTTTACTTGTCCAGAGACTTCACCAGGACCGATAGATAGGTGAATACTGACTTGTCCAGAGACTTCACCCGGACCTATAGATAGGTGAATACTGACTTATCCAGAGACTTCATCAGGACCTATAGATAGGTGAATACTGTCTTGTCCAGAGACTTCGCCAGGACCTAAAGATAGGTGAATACTGACTTGTCCAGAGACTTCATCAGGACCTATATATAGATAAATGCTGATATTAATTGTCCATAGACTTCACCAGGACCTATAGATAGGGGAATATCCGGTTACTTGTCCACATAATTCATCAGGACCTATAGATAGGGAAATACTGATGTAACCTGTCCACAGACCTCACCAGGACATACGGATAGAGTGAACACCGAGGTAAATTTTCCAGAGACTCCACCAGGAAATATTAATACTGAGGTATCTCTAGAGAAGATGAACCCCGAGACGTGACCAGTGTATCAAGAAAAGGCTGTAATTAAAGTTCGCCTGCTATCTGGAAGGTTCATGATATGTACTTGCTTCAGCATTCATTCAGTTCATTTTAATACCGTTGTATTGTTGGCTTTACTTAACTTTTAATATATCATTACTTACCTTGCATTGTTATTTCACACCTTCTAACATTTGACATATTGGTGAATTGAATGTGTTTGTGATAAAGTTTGTATAGCTTCAATTCAGATAAGGAACACCGCGATATCTCAAATGTGTTAGCAACATGAATATGGACGTTGGTAATTCATACCTATAATAACTTATTCATATAAGCAAGTTTATTTCAAAGTCATAATTCCAAAAATATATTATAAACTATTTTAAAGAACCTGTACAGCTTGTACATTATTTTGTGCTGATATCAAATCACCTACATAACATAGCAGTGCATTTGTTGATACTTTCAATGAAGATATTCATTCTTCAAGGTAAATGTTGTGATCTTTTAAAGAATCTGATCTAGGATGTTTGTTAGAACCACATGTACTATATTACAATGATTATTACTCTTCTCTGACAGGCCGAGTTCTACCGAATGTATAACATCATAGACTTTAACAATGACCACCCAGACCTTTCCGTATTCGAGATTTCACCCTGTTATCCATCAAAAGACAAACTCCGCTTTAATGTCCGCTTCCCAGGTTTGTATCGATGTTTGAATATTATATTCCGATGCTATGCATTAGCAGAATATCAAAATTACACTAACTTAAAATTTACTTATATGTTTAATACAAAAAAAATATATATATTGTAATCCCAGTATAAAGTTTTTTAATGATTTTAGGTCTGTACCCTATGTTTGCATTGGTATCCTTATATTGTCCTCTATAATACACACAGCATATATATAAATGGATGTATTAAAGTGTAAACTTTTGTCCATTCATTTTACTGATAATTAGCACTTTACACTAATTGTACCAGATTTTTTGTGTGTGATTTTTGGTATAGTTTTTTCAGTATGGTCACAGGTTGACACAAATTAGGCCTCTGGGAAATATGTTTTTGACCTTTTACAAGATCAAGGAAATAAAGAAAATTACGTATTTAACCAAGTTTGAAGTGTGACATCTTTCACTTAAGTTTAAAACATGTTGTAAGCATCAACAAAAACAGAGTACAGATTCTTTAAAATACACCACCAGAGACATCGCATTGAAAAAGTATTGAACTATAAAATGGCGGAAAAGAACATTTTAACTTGATGTTATTGGCTTTTGTTTTCTGTTTAATTGTCGAAAGTACCGTTATTTAATGTTAGTAACAGTATGAATTTATAGTTTTCTTTTTAAAACCTTATATTTTTATTTCATATTCATAAGTGACCGATGATACATTCATTTCCAAAAATTGTTAATCATCAAATTGTCCACTTGATTTAGTGTCTTGGAACCTTTTTCTATACATGTAATTTGATATATTTACTTCATGCTCACTTGTGTATGTACACTACATACTCTAAATACCGCTGTTGACAAAATTATTTCATCCGAGTCGTGATGCTGAAAACATGCAATTTAGCATCAACACTGCAAGCAGAGTCAAAATCATGAAAATATCTTATCTTCCATTCCGAACTATTGGGGGAAAGAAAAAATAGTTTGTTTAAATTTAAGAAATCCTAATTAATCGAGAGGATCGTATTCTTGTGGTAATTCCTGTCCAAAGATTTAGCAATCCGATAAAGCACTTAAATATCCGTATTTCTGTTGTTCGATGTCATGGACTGTGCTATTTTTAACTCTTCAGTCAAATTTGAATGAGGAAAGAACTCAATCCAATTGACTACATTAATTATTTCCGGAAATCTTCTAAAATCAACCCAAGGCCAATTTAGAGCTCTCATTTTAATTGGTAGAAATAGAAACATTAAATATAAATGCTTATCTTAATTCATAATTAATATTGATAATCTTTGATTCAATATTTTTGTCTTTAAGATGCAATAAAAGCCAGTTTGTTTGATATTTTGATGCCTTTCAGCCATATTCATCGTACGTGTAATGGTTTCTAATGAAGCTTAGCTAGTCTGTATTCAACATAGGAATTATGTTAATGTTGCATGCACTGTGTTACATAAAAGGTAGACATCCTCTTCTAAATTGATCCAGTGAGCTTTTTTTCCAAAGTTTCCTGATTCTTTTTAGGCTAAAAAAATCTCCATTGTTGAATTTTGCGGACTTTTCCAAGTTATGATGTATATACCAGTCGTTTTGAAAAAAACAAAAATAAAAAATCAATTATATTGCAATTAGTCTAACGTAAGACGACAGATTCACTGGACTGTATACTAGCATAGAATGATTAGATGTGTTGATTTATCAATAAAACATTCTCTGTCGACCAGAGATATGATTGTAAATAAGACTGTATACCGATTTGATCTCACTGTTAAGCTATCGTCACGATTGAATAGGTTACAGAGCTTATGTGTCGTTTATCTTTGTCAACCGTCATTGTAATTCAAATATACATAATTAATCCTTAAAGCATTAGCTAATAATGATATGTCTTTATAACAACTAAGTGGATTTCAACCAAAGTTGGTGTGAGACATCATTTATTCCCTCGATAATGAGGTTGTTTCGACACCTGGCGAAATCAGTTGATTTCAACCAAATTTGGTCCTAATCGTCTTTGTGATATGGAAATTATTTCTTAGAAAGATTATTTTGAGCCTTTTGGGACAAAGGTGGGGATCAAAGGGATAAATGAGCTGAATGTTTCCATTTGCACAGAAATGTCAAAACCGATTTCCGTCAACATTGGTCTGAAACGTACAGAGTGTGGGAATAATCATTTCGTAAATAAATGAAGTTTATTCATTTCCTGGACTTGTAGAAATGCTCAGGGATTTTTCATGACCAAATTTTTCTTTTTCTTTTCTAATTTATACGCCATATCGTGAAATTTCCTGGATGTTTGATTGCTATATTAACCTTTTGTTCTTGTATTTTAAACTTATGTTGATTTGATATTTAATATTTCATTTCCATTTGGTCAGCTTTATTTAATCAAGACACAGCCGATGTGTTCAAGCTAAAAACACGACTATTGATAGCAGAGACAATGAGCGTGTCTCCGATAAGGATACAAGATGTCTCTGTCGACCATGATATTGGAGATGTGTTTCTGAGAGCCACATTACTAGACAGGACTCCAGCGACAGGTAAGAAGTGTTATCATGTACCACTATATATCACTGTCTATTTCAACAACATACCTTACTCATAAATACATACAATGCATTAAATAGCATTTTGTATTCAATTCGTCTAGTGACCGAAACAAATGTATTGCACTTGTTGCATATAAGGACTCAATAAAGAGAAAATAATATGAAGTTTTAACTTCTGAATAATACACAGTATTAATGAAAAGGGTTTGTAATGTGACAATGCCAAATATTATCGATGATATAGCGATATAATCTTTATACCTAGCCCTTACAAATATAGATCTTCAAATACTAACAAAACTGTAACTAAGAATTTGATTTAAATATAATGAATTTTGATGGATAACTTTAAGTAATCATTAGCTTTACAGGTGATGAGTTTCTCGGAAAGTAGTAATTTAGAAAGGTTATATTTAGCGGTATGCAGTGTTTTGATGTAGAATTACCGAATGACACGTTTTCAGCTCAATTTACATACACTACTGGGAGGGAGATAGAGAGACATGATGATCTGGTGATTCCTAAGACGGTATCTCCTATGGAATGTGCTACGTTCTGTGTAAACCTGAACAACTTCACGTGTAACAGTTTTGATTATTGTCCTACGGACACCGCTTCTTGTCGGTTAAGTAGGAGCCATATCGGTGACGGAACCGCTGTGCTGATTCAGAGTGCCTGTTCTCATTACTCAAGTAAGAATCCGCTTCCCAAATCGTTGTTGAATTCAAATTCGATCATTCCAATCTCTATATTTTAAAATGTCAAATGTCAAAATACAAACACATTACTATACTGATTTTATCATGATGTCAGATTAGACTGTTTTAAATTGGTATGTATTTGGCTTTGTGCCTAGAACAACAGCAAAAGCTTATATTACAGGAATATTTTATATTGATTCTTAAGATATTTTATTCTTATATTTTGGAATGCAATTAACATGTCATAGAGTCGACTTAAAAAGTGTTTATCATTAATGTTTGGTAAAGTATATATCCGTATTTAAAATAAATATTGTCACTATAGACCGTATGATTTTCAGGAAATGTTAATGGCCCACGAGCACCGGAGGTAACTATGCTAGACGCGTACGCTGCTCTCCGCATTGCTATTTACAATCAAATTCTGGTGTTCCAGATACAGGAGGATACTGGTCAGGTAGGACAATCAAATACATCAGATGATACATTATACAGTATCTTCTAAAATATTGATGATACAACACAGTTTGATTGGATAATCTTGGGGTCTAATCATTGATAGTCTCATGAATTTCAATCACGTTGCCATGGCTACTATTCTGACACTAGCCGAGATATGGTGGCCATTTCGAATGTTGAGATGATTGTGCAAAAGACATACAGATAGCACGTAATCATACCAATTCATAGCTAAATACAGTATTCAAATAATGAATAAAATGCATCATGCAATAATTCTATTAATATTGACATCATTCTTGAATTTAACATTGAGTTTCCAGACGAAGAAAAGGATTATGTCGGCCTTAGAGAAATGTTTGCATAACTTTCCGAGTCTAATCAGTTTTGTCATGAAATAAGAAATGACAAATCCTCAATCCAGGGATCAGTTTCAATTACTAAAATATTCTAACTGTCTTAATTAAATACAGTTATCTGTCCGCCTACCTAGGAGCAAAAGAGCGGCAACTTTTTGTTTGGTTGAATTTATATCAATATTGCTATGCGTGCATCACCCAAATCATATTAAAATGGGAATTATATGTTTTTATGCATCCAATGAATATACAAGATTATGAATTTGTTACGTATTGACATTTGATATCATCTCGATTTAAAACCAGAATTAATTATTGATGTGTTATCTGTTTGAAGATGGTTGATTACGTAGCCGTAGATACACAAGTCCAGGAAGGTGAGTATTGAATCCGTACGATTTTTCATTTTTTATTCTTTATTTCATCGTTCGTGGTCCGTTTTCCGTCTGTCAGTTAACAATAATTGTTATCGCTAGTTCTAGATGGACCTTTCTCAAATTGCATATGTGAGTGCCTCTTTGTCTCTAGTCTTGTCTAATCATGTCCTCTTGATTTTGATACTGATCATAAAACAAAATGACTGACAAGTGGCCATCTTGAATTTTTACGATTGAAAGTTTGTTATCAATGTTTCTTAAGAAGAACAAGATGGGTCTTTCTCAAATTTTATTCTGTCCCTAGTCCTAACCATTTGATTTTGGAACTGATGAGAAAAACAAAAGTACAGGTGTTTCTCGAATTTCATATGTAGGTTTCCCATCGCCTATGGTAGGGTCCGATGGGTTTTAGGACTTACCAAAAAGTTGCTTTTTTGTTGAGAAGCATTGGATGGATCTTTCATATGCGAATTCCTCTTGGTCACTAGTGATCATTAGATTTAGGACTGACATAAATATGGCTAACAGGCGAATTTTGAAGTATGAAAGTTCTCGACAGACATTTTTCAAATTTCACATGTTGGTTCCCCTTGGTCCACAGTTGTGCCGTTTTGATTTTGAGACTGATCAAAAATGCAAAATGATCGACAGACGACCATCTTGAATTTAACAATTAAAAATGATTGTCAACATTTCTTAAGAGTAATTTTCAAATTTGTTTGTATAATTAAAAGAACGAAAAGAAGAAGGAATAAAAAGGAGAAAGATCTAACAGTCACAGTAGAAATGAAGAGCAAGCAAATGTGGGTGCCAAAAGCCCTCTGGAATCTGTTGTGATATACGTAATATGCTATAACATTAAATGGCGTTAGACTTTGACATCATACGTTTTATTTTAGACAATATGTGGAACAACTCGTCAATATTATGAACTTCTTCGAGAGTACAATTCAGTTATCCTCCTCCCATGGTGTCGTGACAAATTTGAAATTCTAGCGACTACTCAGAATGCTGTTCAAATTTTGAAAATTTCGTCAGTATGTCATATCATGTCCCTTTGTGTGAAATTTATTAGAAATTGCTTGTATATTTCAAATACATTGAACTCTCATGCCAAACACTTGAAGTATTGACCGTGGATTTATTATAGTTAAAACGGTTGTTTGATGACATAGATATACCAAGTTCGAATCCGACGTATTCATTTCAGGAACTCTAACCCCTGTAGCAATGCCCAAGTTATCGGGACAGTTCTCCTACAGTCAGGAAGTCACAATACCGAGTATTGCTGAGGTCTATAGCGCCAAAGTAGGTAACTTTTACCATATTCCCGCTAGTAATCGTGAACTAAAATTAGGCTTATCAATCCGTTCTTATCTTTGTTAATTCATTTTTTAATTTTCAAATGTTCCTATATGAATACATCTTTTGTTCATACATTGGTCTTCTATAAACACAGAATGTGAATAATGATTGGGTGACATTTGGTTATAGTTTTGCATTATGCATTACACACAAAAATCAATAAAGATATAAAATAGGCAATATTTTACGGTTATTTCCTACCTTGCTGTGTCGCCAACTTTGTTACATCTGAGACCAAATTCCTTTAACAGGAACGTCTCCTGCAATATTTATTGTCCAAAATGTTATCTTGAAAAGGTTACGAACTTTCGTTGATCTGGGATCCATCAAACCAAATAAATAGAGAATGCATTGTTAGTGTCTTGAAATATAAATTGTATTTTGGCGAGGGTGAACAATGATAAAAGTGGCCAGTCCTTGTCGAGCCACTTTGTCACTGCCGAATACAGCAAAAATATATGTAATAGGTGTATTCCGACAGTTGCTGTGCCAGTTGAAGGATAAAAGATGGCAATTGGGGCTACACACGAGTGATAAAATAAAGCGATGGAAGACTGGTTTCGCAGTTTACGTTAAAGTTTTGTTTTTATTGTAGAATCGATTTCTCGGGGCAATGATGAGCGGTATCTTTATGGTATCAGAAATGGTACTATTGAGGTGAAGTTTATCTAAATTCGCAGAGATTGCAAATATTGGTATTACGTTAGAAATTATTTTGAAAATTAATTGAAACTTTACAGATTTGGTACGATTCTTTCTACAAATTTGTACGGTATGATTACCATCAATCCTACCAGCCACGACCACCATTTTACTCAACCAACCCAATGACCTTTATCCATGACTTCAACACAGGTAGGTTTACCGTTATAAGTGACTGATCGTAAAACATATAAGCTATTTAAAAACACCCGTTAATATGCCTACAACGACCTCCAGTACCACTATTTGCATCAAATTTTGGACCTAGATTGTGTAAAGGAAGATAAGATTGATTAACAGGCCAAGGAACCTCTCTGAGAGGCTGGAATTCACCAAAGTCTAATCCAATAATTGAAATTGAATTTTTCCTCGTTATTTGCTTATCTATGTTATTTATGCTCTATTTATCCACGAAAGTTGAGCTTCACGAATATATTATATTAAACATAATATCCTTGACATTATCACGAAAAATCGTGTACGGCTCAATAGAAGCTTCGTTTTTAATAGTGATGCTATATATCAACAACGAGGTTATGCTATAGACATTTAAACAATATAATCCTTGTACTACTAACAATTGTTCCATTCCTCCTTCAGGCGTGGCGTATAATATAGACAGGGATTTCGAGAACTGCACCGTGGTACCGATAGGTTCTGCTGCTATCGACAGTGAACTAGATCCTAAGTCAGCCCTGAAGAATGGCGCGTATGTTGTGCAGATGAAGAGTCCACTCGAATTTTTCCACATAACAAATAACTACAAATTTATTGGGCAGGTAAATGATTGAGGTACAATTCAGATGAAAAATGACCGTAATGTTGATAGGAATTTCAAATGTTGTACAATAACAGGTTTAATTTGAACATTTTATTGTCAAGAAAGGTGTAGCGGTATCGGTCACATGCTATTTCAACTCAATAATCTTCCTCTTCTGGCAAAATATAAAATTCAATTTCAGTTTCAAACATTTTTGTTACATATAAATACATATGTGACAAAAGGATTAAACATCAGACATAGTCTATTCAATTCCTTTCAACATATAACATCAGAGTGGTACAAGACAAAATAAAATAGCATACAATATAATCAATGTATTCATTACATAATAACAGTAGTATTGATACTAATAATACAATATAACACAAGGGAAGCAACTCCTATGACCTTGAATTTAAGTCAAATCCACCCAATACAACGTTAAATGAGCATGGACATTAACAAAAAATATATACCTAGTTCAGATCTATATTTAAGAAGGATTAATGTAATTATGCAAATGTCTGAAAACACTAAAATGTATATCGTTGGCAAATGTTTCACCTCCATCTAATGATAGTTCAAATCAACATTCATATTTTAATTTTACGGTTCTGGTGTCAGTGTTGTGTATATGCCCATTCTAAATAAGCTAAAAAAATTAAAACACATTGTGAAGTGTAGCATTTTATTATGATGTAACAAATATAGGACGCCTATACTGTATACCGATATACCCCTCATTCAAATACCTTAAGTGATTCTTTTTCTAGAAATCAGTACGGGACCAGCTTACCAGTGGTTATGAAACCATAGTCCATAATTTCAGTATGCCTGGACTGTCGTTTACCAACAACACAGCACTCATCAGGTACTTCTTCCTCCAGGTAAACATCCACGTGTCTTCCCACTTATGGGATAGAAATGAGAAATAAAAGAATAAGGAAGAAAATTTCATTTACTCCTTTAGTTTCACATCTTCCATCCTATCAGAGGATACTGCAACTTTAAGAAAATATTTCTCATTTAATATAATTTCACGAGTATGAAAGATTATAGATGTAACGCTGCAGGTATGACAATTATCGATATATTCTGCCATACAAATAGAATCGAAACCATCGTTCTGATCGGACAAATCTCAGAAAGTTATACCATCACTGGAAAATTGCATTACTGGTACAGTGATTAACTGCCAATATTTTTTTTTTATGTATTTGACGTTTATTAGCTACTGTTTTCAATATGTACTATATAATTACTTATGTGAATCTGGTAGAATTAAGAGGATATTTTAATTATTCTTTCTCTAAACTTGCATTGTATATCGAAACGTTTTCACGTTTTTCGCTGTAACATATCTGCCAGATTGCATTTACATATTTGAAAAAAGCACAGTTCACAAGTTCACAATTCACAAGCCATATTTACATACCAAGGGTGGATGGACAGAAGTGTCTGCCGATTCCAGGGATCTGACGTTCTCCCAACCTGTTCGCATGGAGATCACTATAATGCAGGTAAAATGTCGCTATGTCCGTGTACAATAAATCCTAATAATCAGACGCTAAAATCATCTGTTTCTCGGTTTTGAACTTCGAGGCGACCACTTTTTGTTTGATAAAATTGATTTTATATACAAAGAGTGGAATAGAATGAGGCGGTGGTTGCCAAGTCCCGTATTCACATTCAAGTCTATCGATTAGATTCTTTTACCCTTTGCAATAGTAAATGCAATAGTTCAATGGAATAAATGGGGTTATCTTCATGGATAAGGAAGCCAAACAAGTATATTTTGTGTCAAGTTCATCAGCGTTTTCTTTGGCAGAATAAAGGCAAGATTTTAGATTTACATACTACTTGTACTAACGTGCAACACCTCCACGGTAATATTCAAGATTAACTACAAAAGTAAAAGATTGACGTCTCGACGTTTACTCTGTAGGAATGGATATTGTAACTGTATAATCGTACTTCTACACTGGTGATAGACTGGCATTGTTTTAGCATTGTTATGCAATTCACTGTGATGATTGGATGTTTCTTCTCTTCACAGCTAGGACTATTTTTGTCATACGACTTCTTTGACTTTGAAGAAGTTTCACATCCAGATCTATCCATCTTTGATATCAGAAAATGTTTCAGTGAAGCCAATCAACGCCACTTTCAAATACAATTTCCTGGTTAGTTTGTCTTGTAATTCCCTTGCTGGCTAACGAAACCTGAAATCCTAATCACTTACACTGTCTTATTATTGTCAATAAAAACGGAGATGAACTGTCGTGTTCTCATATTGTGCCCTCACCAAATCCTTATTCTTTTAAATCTATTTCCATGCACATATTTCTAGTCCACTTTAAGAACTTACTTTGTTGCGCGAAGTCCATGTTATCATTGAAATAATAATATTTCTAGTCCACGTTAAGAACTTACTTTGTTGCGCGAAGTCCATGTTATCATTGAAATCATAATATCTCTAGTCCACGGTAAGAACTTACTTTGTTGCGCGAAGTCCATGTTATCATTGAAATCATAATATTTCTAGTCCACGGTAAGAACTTACTTTGCTGCGTGAAGTCCATGTTATCATTCAATCATAATATTGCACTTCTTTTCCGCGAATCAGTCATCTGAGTCGCTAATATTGCTTATATTTCTTCACTGCAACTTACAACTCCTTAAATTTTATTTCAGTTTGCTTTTCTTGATTTTCCTCTACTTCACAAGGAAATATAAATATTAAGTATTTTGATTTTGAGCAAAAACTTCAACAACTGTAAAATGGGACATTGTGACAATGTTTTTGTTTAGTGTATAGAACTCTCACCTGCATTAGTTCGTTATGTTCCACACAGCCTTTAATGTTATAACAGTTTTATGATTCTTTATTAACCTGTATCATTATGATTGCGCCAAATAGATACCGAAAAAAATGGAGTTCCTTTTCGGTAAATTTCACAAAACACACCTTATTTAGAGTATCTTTTTAAAAACACCGCTGTAGTTTTTATTTTAGTTTGAACGCTGAAACATTATTTATATATGTAATACGTTCGGATCGAATTATAGGTGGTCAGAATAAAATAATATATGGAACTTACAAACATTTATTAACTGATAGATCAATGTACTAAAACTAATTTGTAAATAGTTCATGGAATTTCATACACATTTTTGTAAACATTCTGGTTTAGTAACATTCATTTTTTATTTGGAGCACGTGTACATCCTTTATCTTATTACAGCCAGTAAATTGCACATCAAATTTAGGATGTTTTGCTTAAAATGTTGAGTCTTTTCTAGGTCAAACATTTGTGAACGTCTTGTAGATGCGAACTGAGAATATTTACACAATACTTTGTGTTGCAGGGAAATTTCATCCATTCCTGGACATATATAGCAAGATATTCAAGTTGATGTCTCAGATGAACATGGCTGAGAGCACCAGTGCATCTGTCATCAGATTCCAAGGGACGCAAGTGGATTATGACGACGACAATATATACGTTACAAGCACTCTACTGGGCCGAATTCCATTTATGGGTAAACAATACATTCTAGTGGCAAAGGCTATGACTGTCTTGTTATCAATAAATACTATATGTGAAATGCACCATGCAGAATTCCAATTACATGTATAGATACGATGTACATTTTAGGAATCACATCCTCGATACTCCGGGCATTATGACCATTTTTGCTCTCTGCACACATGGAACATGCCATAGCAAAACTGATGGTTCCTTGTGCGACACCTTGTAGGAAAGACTAGTTTGATCCTTTGGCATTCATCAAATGAATCTCGAGATCGCATAACGGTATATTGTAATGGCTTTGACGTTGAATGTCGCTCGTAATCTTCAAAAGGAGCGTATCAGTCTGTGACTGGTAATTTTTTTGCCCCTGGAACCAATCAAATTGTTCTGCTTGTGCTTTCAATTTTGCTATGACATGCTCCAGGGGTGCAGAGAGCGAAATCGATTGTAACCCCTGGAGAATCGAGGATGTAAGAGTCATAACTTTATATGATAATAATGTACTGTCGTTTTGTTACATATTTTAGCTGGTTTTACGTTGGTGGCTGGAACGTTTACACCCCACAAGTCGGATGCTAATTTCCCAAACATTAGAACGGCGAAAGGCTGTGCGGACATCTGTTCTTCCCTAAGTAGTTTCCCTTGTAACAGTTTTGACTATTGTCCCCAGGCCAACTTTTGCTTTCTGAATAGAAACCACAGCCAGGATGGACCGAAGGTTAACGTTAATACCACCTGTTACCACTATTCAAGTAAGTAATTGTGTTTAATACCCTTTCATCTTCACTGAGGTACACTCTAAACATCGTCATATAGGAGGTGTGGGTTTCACCATTATTTAAGGATGGAAATATTAAAAAAAGATGCATGTAGATTTGAAATAATATGAAGAAATAATTAGTTTTGCTTCAATTTTAGAAATCTAGAAAGTTTACGCTTTCCAGTACATTATTGTTTCACCTTGAAAATATCGTTTACGTAACCTCGTTCATTACGTTCAACTTCATGCTCTTTTTTATGTTAATTGATCTTTTATTTTAAGAATAACACACTTTATGGAATCTCGTACTTCAATTTAGATATAAAACCATCCGTCATGGAATCATGCACACGCATTATGATGAAATAGAAACATACTTAATTTATCGTCATATAATTGTTTTACAATTGTAAATAATTCTATAACCTTATTGTTAAAGGAACTGTTCAGGACAGCACAATACCTAGTCCTAGTATAGAACAAGCCTACACCAGACTGAAGAACGCTGTTTACACGGGGCAATTTAACGTCTCCATACCTAATGGTGAAATGGTAACGGTAAACTATTCTCGTACAATTATCTTATTTCAGGCACCATATCAACAATAACGATGTATGTATATGTCCCTATGGATTAATTACCATATATTTGTAGTTAGCCGTTTATCCCACAAAGCAGTGAAATTTAATTTTTATTTAATTTTATTTAACTTAATTTGATTTAATAAACTGTTTAATTAGTTATTATATTCGTGACACAACAAAAATGATAAATCTAATTCAATCGTTAGGCATAACAATATAACACTTATAGCCAATACATTTGATTTATTCTTAAAACATATTTAAGTGTGTACTTTTGTGATTAGATACGAAGCAAAAGTAATGGTAGGAATTACAGTTAACTGATATGGATATAATTCACATTGTTACGCTAACATTTTATCTGAAAAGTATCCGATTTTGGAACGCATTATGTATTACCTGGAAACCATCCCATAGAGATGATACACATTGTTACTGACTAACAGAAAGTTTATCTGAAGACCACCACTTAGAAATTTAACAAAGCGTTACTTAGAACACAGTTCTCTGAAAACCACCCCTCAGAGATGATACACATTGTTACTGACTGAAAAACCACTTTTAAAGACTTAGAGATGAAAAAAAAAGTATTAATGACTTACATGTTTTACCTGTAAACAACCCTTAGAGATGATAAACATTGCTTATAATTAACACTTTGTAAATGACATGACAAACGCCTAACCTAAAAGACCACCTTCTTATCTTTGTCAGGCTAAAATATTTTCTGCATCTTCCATTCGGGGTGACATTGTCCGACCCACTGGGCAGCAAACGACAGGTAACATTACTAGTTTCCGTGTTAATCTTCTTTGGACTTTTCTTCTTCATCAGAAATGTTTAAGCAAATCAGAAGAGAAAATGCGATATATTTACCAACGTTGTACCAGTAATGGTATTTTGCATTGTGTCTACATATAAAAAAAGAACATGGACACAAGCAACTAGGCAATAGAACTATTATTCAAAAGCGCCTTCAAACAGAGTTTTGTCCGAAAATTAGTTTAGATATGCCAAAATGTGTTTACATACTGGTGATAATGGTAAAGTTATCTTCTGTCACATTATCAATCAATATTAAAATTTCTTTTAAATGTGGGAAGAATTCGTTAATAGTATTTAGAAAATTGATTTTTGGGAACAGATACCCTCAAAAGAATAATGGTTGTTATCAAGTTACAAAAACAGATAAAACTCTAGCTTCTCCGTACCCAAATTATCGATGTCCAAGACATCACTTCATTGTGCAAATTTAAGATACTAGTTTTTTTTGTTTTTTTGTTTTTTTTTGTTTTTGTTTTTGGTTTTTGTTTTGTTTTTTTTTTGTTGTTGTTCTTTTTTGTTAATTCCAAGAAACAATCTCACTAGCAAACTGATATCAGGTTAACATGCGTTGCATTCATTTGGATGTTGGTTTAAGGACGGATTCTCACCAGGTTCCGCCAAATGAAGAACAGCATCTTGTCGGGATCGGGTGACAGTCAAAAGGTCCAGGTGGCTGTAGACGATTGTGCCGCTGCCTGTCTCTCGGAGGATATATTTGACTGTCAGTCGTTTAGCTACTGTTATAACTCTGAGACGTGTGTACTTAGTGCCACACATCCTGACGAGAATCTCCAGGAAGTCAAATACAGTTCTGCCTGTGATCTCTTTTCACGTACGTACGCAACGTATACACTAAACGTAATGGAAAATATATATAAATATATCAATAATCAAAGAACGTAATATTAGATTGTGCATCTAATATTTATCTAGAGAGACAACCCTTAGTGTTACCAGGTAGTGATACCAGCACCCTTATATCATCCTTGCTTTTATCAGGCCAATATTTAGACAGCTATGACGAGTTACCTGGACAGGTGTTAAAGGTAGAAACTGCAACCACGTTAACAGTGAAGACGGACAACTTGTGTGCCCAGAAATGTACTATGAATACCTTATGTAAGTCATTTGACTATTGTGCCAGCTCAAGTTCGTGTTTGCTGAGGAGAAAACATACGTTAGACGTCCCCAGTTCTTTCCTCACGACTTCACACTTATGTAACCATTATTCTAGTAAGTATAATCATCTAATAAAATACACAACACAGCAGTTTTATTTCTATCTACCTCATTATTTACACCAGTTAATCGTTCAATCAAGTCCTCTAAAATGAAATTACCTATAACTTATCAGTCATTGTTCATCGCAGATTTATTTCTAGTCGACTGTTCTCTTCTCGTAAGGAATAGTTCTTTTATATTCTTATAGAGAACGATCTGTTTATGAAGTTCATAAGTATCTTATTTCAAACCTGATTTTGTCACATGTCTCCTTAACGTTTTCAATAACAGCTAAAATAGCAGATTTTAGAACAGCGACATGCGATACATAGCTTAATTTTCTTCTCTGATATGTTTGACAATAACACAGCGCACGTGTACTAACGGGAGGAATGTTCTCTCCATTTTAGAATTATAGATATTATACATAGTATATAAGACTATGTTGATTTCTCATTTTATAGAAACCATTGTTTATGTAAACTTTTTTTTATTTATTATGGCAGAAAAATACGTGTTTGATTTCAAGAAGAGCGAAGGCAGGCAAATGAAATACGGTTCAGTTTTACCTTTGAGAGGGATATCGGTAGAACAGTGTGCCAAGTCTTGTGTGGAGGAGCAAACAATTAACTGCCAAAGTTTTGACTTTTGCAGCAACACAAAAACGTGTATGCTTCATAGCCCAAGTCCGAGACAGGCTCCTCCGGGGTCGGTGATCAGCAGTGCTAATTGTAGTCTTTATTCTAGTAAGTACTGGACTCTCCAATCTTACAAGTACTATAGAACTTGCTCCAGTAATACGTAAACGTTGTTGATAAAACTCTACTGGAACTGTTGGTGATTTAACTTGTCTATAATGATAAAACTGTACTGGAATCGTTGTTATGTCAACTTGTCTTTGATAACAGAAATGTACTGGAACCGTTGCTAGCTCAACTTGTCTTTGATAACAGAAATGTACTGGAACCGTTGCTAGCTCAACTTGTCTTTGATAACAGAAACGTGTTAGAACCATTGCTTATTCAAATTGTCTTTAATAACAGAAATGTGTTAGAACCGTTGCTAATTCAACTTGTCTTTAATAACAGAAATGTGCTAGAACCGTTGCTAATTCAACTTGTCTTTGATAACAGAAATGTGTTAGAACCGTTGCTAATTCAACTTGTCTTTGATAACAGAAATGTGTTAGAACCATAGCTAATTAAGCTTGTCTTTAATAACAGAAACGTGTTAGAACCATTGCTAATTCAACTTGTCTTTAATAACAGAAACGTGTTAGAACCATTGCTAATTCAACTTGTCTTTGATAACAGAAATGTGTTGGAACCGTTGCTAGCTCAACTTGTCTTTAATAACAGAAACGTGTTAGAACCGTTGCTAGCTAAACTTGCCTTTGATAAAAGAAACGTGTTAGAACCATTGCTAATTCAACTTGTCTTTAATAACAGAAATGTGCTAGAACAGTTGCTAATTCAACTTATCTTTGATAACAGAAACGTGTTAGAACCATTGCTAATTCAACTTGTCTTTGATAACAGAAACGTGTTAGAACCATTGCTAATTCAACTTGTCTTTGATAACAGAAACGTGTTAGAACCGTTGCTAGCTCAACTTGTCTTTAATAACAGAAATGTGTTAGAACCGTTGCTAGCTCAACTTGTCTTTAATAACAGAAACGTGTTAGAACCGTTGCTAGCTCAACTTGTCTTTAATAACAGAAACGTGTTAGAACCGTTGCTAGCTCAACTTGTTTTACTTGTCATCCCATTGTAAATTTTCATCGGGTATACATTTCTATGAAATCGTTTATCTGATTTTATATTTATAGGGAGATATTTTCCTGGAGGGACACATTCACACACTCTACCAACCTTAGGACCTTACAATCCGGGTACCGGATGTATTCATTCTGATTCCAATACTGTAAGCTCCTCTTCAAGTGCTAGTGCAGGTGAGTATGAGATATTCAATTGTTTGTTCATGTGATTAAAATATTGTATAGGTGAGTACCTGAGATTCCGGTGTTTGTACAGGTGATTTGAACGTTTGATAGGTGAGTACCTTTGATTCCAGTGTTTGTACGTGATCTGAATGTTAGATAGTGAGTACAGAGATTCCGGTGTTTGTACAGGTGATTTGAATGTTAGATAGTGAATACAGAAATTCCGGTGTTTGTACAGGTGATCTGAATGTTAGATAGTGAATACAGAAATTCCGGTGTTTGTACAGGTGATTTGAATGTTAGATAGTGAGTACCTGTGATTCCGGTGTTTGTACAGGTGATTTGAATGTTAGATAGTGAGTACAGAGATTCCGGTGTTTGTACAGGTGATTTGAATGTTAGATAGTGAGAACTGAGATTTCAGTGTTTGCACAGGTGATTTGAACTTTAGATAGGTGAGTACCTGTGATTCCGGTGTTTGCACAGGTGATTTGAATGTTAGATAGTGAGTACAGAGATTCCGGTGTTTGTACAGGAGATTTGAATGTTAAGTAGTGAGTACCTGAGATTTTCGTGTTTGTACAGGTGATTTGAATGTTAGATAAGTGAGTACCTGTGATTCCGGTGTTTGTACAGGTGATTTGAATGTTAGATAGTGAGAACTGAGATTTCAGTGTTTGCACAGGTGATTTGAACTTTAGATAGGTGAGTACCTGTGATTCCGGTGTTTGCACAGGTGATTTGAATGTTAGATAGTGAGTACAGAGATTCCGGTGTTTGTACAGGAGATTTGAATGTTAAGTAGTGAGTACCTGAGATTTTCGTGTTTGTACAGGTGATTTGAATGTTAGATAGGTGAGTACCTGTGATTCCGGTGTTTGTACAGGTGATTTGAACGTTAGATAGGTGAGTACCTGTGATTCCGGTGTTTGTACAGGTGATTTGAATGTTAGATAGGTGAGTACCTGTGATTCCGGTGTTTGTACAGGAGATTTGAATGTAAAGTAGTGAGTACCTGAGATTTTCGTGTTTGTACAAGTGATTTGAATGTTAGATAGGTGAGTACCTGTGATTCCGGTGTTTGTACAGGTGATTTGAATGTTAGATAGGTGAGTACCTGTGATTCCGGTGTTTGTACAAGTGATTTGAACGTTAGATAGGTGAGTACCTGTGATTCCGGTGTTTGTACAGGTGATTTGAATGTTAGATAGGTGAGTACCTGTGATTCCGGTATTTCCACAGGTGATTTGAACTTTAGATAGGTGAGTACCTGTGATTCCGGTGTTTGTACGGGTGATCTGAATGTTAGATAGTGAGTACCTGAGATTCCGGTGTTTGTACAGGTGATCTGAATGTTAGATAGTGAGTACAGAAATTCCGGTGTTTGTACAGGTGATTTGAATGTTAGATAGTGAGTACCTGATATTCCGGTGTTTGTACAGGTGATCTGAATGCGAGGTAGGTGAGTACCTGTGATTCCGGTGTTTGTACAAGTGGTTTAAAAGTTAGGTAAGTAATTTAAGTATTCAAACATGTGTTTTAAACAACTGTATGTTTTTCAAGTTTTAGAGCGTAAACTTATATTTGTGAGGATAATGAATCTGGTACATTTGAACCGATAAATCTAGTATTTGTACGGGTGATATCAATGAATGTTAACAATGGTCTGGTGTTATTTTACATTATTTTATTTTTAACTTAAGTTGAATGGAGTGTCCGCACGGGTTATTATCAGTGATTTTGTTGAATGTGTGTGTGATCTAGTGGAAGTTGCTTTCAATTTAGAGGCTGCTTGCAGTATGTAAGTATATGTGATGCGAGTGTCTATACGGGTGGTCATTAGTATCAAGCAAGTCTTGAGTCTATACGGAAATCTTTGTGTTATTTAGGTGAGACTAGTGTCTATTCGGAAATCTTTTTGTTATTGAATTGAGTCTAGTGTCTATTCGGAAGTCTTTTTGTTATTAAGGTGAGTTAAGTGTCTGTTTGGAAGTCGTTTCGTTATTAAGGCGAATCTAGTGTCTGTATGATTTTCTTTGCGATAGTAATTTGAGTCTAGTGTCTGTACCGAAATCTTTTTTGTAATTAAGTCGATTCTAGAGTCTGTTCGGAAGTCTTTTTATTATTAAGTTGAGTCTAGTGTCTGTACGGAAGTCTTTTTATTATTAAGTTGAGTCTAGTGTCTGTTCGGAAGTCTTTTTATTATAAAGTTGAGTCTAGTGTCTGTACGGAAGTCTTTTTATTATTAAGTTAAGTCTAGTGTCTGCTCGGAAATCTTTTCGTATTAAGTTAAAAAAAATCTAGCCAAACTTTTGCTTTACATTACATTTTCTTGTATTTTACAGGGGCCTTGGTGGGTGTTGCTTTCGGCGTGTTCATCCCTGGACTAGTCCTTGGTGCTGTTTTGGTTACATTATTTCGAAGCCACAGAGAAAAAAAGCTAAACAAAGATGGCATGAACATAACATTTGTAAAGGAAGATCATGAACTGAGTTAATATAGATATCGGTTAATTTGTGCTTTGAAATAGTAATTATTTGCAAATATTCACTTACACACATGACTTTATATCAGACATAATTATGATTTGCTTTCATTTATCCTCTCTCTCTCTCTCTGTCTCTCTCTCTCTCTCTGTCTGTCTGTCTCTGTCTGTCTGTCTCTCTCTCTCTCTCTCTCTCTCTCTCTCTCTCTCTCTCTGTCTGTTTCTCTCTCTCTCTCCTTTTTATTTTACTCTTCTTGAAAAAGAATCTGACTAAGAACTAATTTTGCTTTACCTGTAAAATGCGATCAGTATCAGCCGTAATAGGTAGTCTAGATTTATAGGCAATCGTTTTCAATACATGAAAATAACAATTAATTTCAATATTCGTACTATCATCTGAATTTCAGTAATTATTTGCTATAAAGCATACAAAATTTTGTTTTATATTTGACAGTTTCCTTATCAAGTGCCATATTACAGGGTTTTATTTTTAGAATATTGCTATTTTGATGTTTCTTTTTCTGAAAATATCGAACGGCTATGAATGGAGATGAAATTCACGAAGAACACTTGACAGCTTGTGCTTATAACTTACCAGCCCTAATTATTGTCAAAGTTTCTATGGGTGATATTTTTAACGAAATCTGTAAATGTGTCGCTAAAAATTTCCTGTTTTAAAGGCAATATTTTTGTTTTGAATCAGATTAGTGATACATTTACTCATTACTGCCTCTTGGTCACGTGCTAATGGATGTCTTAGAAATATGCACATGAAATCGTGACTGATCGACACTCCATACTCATTAACCCTATAATAGTAAGATTTTATCTGAGATGAATTTTTAAGAATGAGAACATCTTCTGTCTCACAACTACATATGGTTTAATGATGTCGAATGAAAACAACAAAAACAGACGATGAATGATATGGTGCATGCAGCTGTCAATTCCTCTAAAAATCCTATGTTATGGTGTACGTTGTATTTTAGGCTGACATTTTTTTCTTATCTGTTCGCGTGTCCTACGTCGTCTTTCACTTCCATATCCTCACATATTTATCGGAGATGTGGAATTCTTGGTATATCATTGAAATAATGCAAGCTCTTGTGTGCAATCGTTAATTCAATCACGTGTATTATGTGACAACTACCATATTACAAGTAATCATCGTCCTGATTTGCTTGTAATTAATTGTTCAGACTCAATCTTCTGATCCAACTTGACATCGGTTCATGATCATCCTATCACGTCAATAAACTATGCTTTTAAAATGCTTGTAAAATTTTGCAATGAAATTTGTTGTTATGAACCAATAAAAGTGAATTCTGGAGTGATTTTGTAGAATGCATATTGTGTTTTTTTTCTTTTTTTTTCTTTCTTAATCTTTTTAAAAAAAAAAAAATTTCCAACAATAAGCAAGTTTTGTCTTTAAGTGTGGCGAATGGACAATAATGACGGAACCTGTTTGTTTATTTGGAGAAACACAGAGGAAATTACAAATCAGTATGGAAATATTAAAACCTATCTTCTACATAGATAGCCCTGGTAGATCAATCTACACATTAAAGATTAAACTTATTTTCTATATAAACTATGTTACGTAGTTTTAATTAAAAGTATATAATGGATATATTGGTCCATATTGAGAAGACTGAACAGTGCACATCAATTGTTTTGGAACTTCTAATCCAAACAACAGTTCCAAAACAGTTGCTGTGCACTCAATATGTTAAAAGTATATTACATAGTTGATATAGAAAAATAACAATTAGTGTATGAGTCGGCAATTTGTTGAAATTGATCAGTCCGGTGAAGTTGATCAAACGCTATTCTGGCAATTATATAAATTTAAATCACGTAAACCGAAATTAGCACAGACTGAGTTGAAGTATGATGGCCGGGTCCTACGTGATCCAAGAGAAATCGTAAATGCATGGGGTAAACATTTTGGCAAGCATTTTGAAAGTGAAAGTAACGAAATGTTTGATGTTAATACTTTCAATCAGGTTCAACATGATATATTGACAATTAAGGAAAACATCAACAGACCAAGATACCTTTCAAGAAAATGAGTTTACATTTGAAGAGGTTTACTCGATATGTAAAGGTCCTAAAACAAAAAGTCAGGTGGTCCACACGGTCTCGCGTATAAACATGTTAAATACTGTAACAGTTCACTTGTCACACATATAACATATGTTTTAATCTTATTGTTAAGTATGGATATATTCCAAAATCGTGGAAATTGGGCACGATAATTACACTTTACAAAGGTAATCGGAAACCGAAGGACGATCCTAACAGCTACAAGTGAATAACATTAATTCCTGTATTTTTCAAAATATTTGAGTCTTTGTTGTCTACCCGTTTAAGTCCAGTCCTAGAGTCAGACTCATTTCCAAACCGGCATAAGTCAGCCTAGCGCAAAAATTTGTGTAGTTTATGTACATCCTTTAATTTACTGGAAAGCATAAATTATAATCTAGACTATGCAGCCGAAGTGTTCGTTGCCTTTTTAGATAGTAATAAAGCCCTCGATTGTGTTGGGCAAGACGGGCTATTCTATAAGCTGTACAACTTAGGTATTAAAGGGAAAACGTGGAATATTATGTATCAGATGTACTCTCATTTTACCAGTCGAGTCGTTTTCAACGGTTTGAAGTCGAATTGTTTAACTATGAAGCGAGGGATTTTACAAGGTGGGTCGTTATCTGCGAAATTGTATTTTGTTTTTGTAAATTATCTGCTAAATAATGTTGAATCTAGCGGAAAAGGGTCAGTAGTGTTATCCTCACGTGTCAATATACCAACACAAGCCGATGATATATGTCTTGTTAGTAACAACGTTTACAATTTACAGCATTTATTCTCAGTTTGTGAGTTATATAGCCGAAAGTGGAGATTTACTTTTTCTTCCGCTAAATCTAAGATCCTTGTTTTCACTTCCAAAAAACAATCACGTGTGTCGTGTGATGTGACTCTATATGGTTCGAAATTACCAATTGTTGAAAGTATTACACATGTTGGTGTTTTGTTGAACAGCAAAAATAATAATATCGAAAGCACAGAACGCGCTTGTTCTGAGTAGAAGTGTGGAGTAATGTCTTTGATTCCTTCTGGGGCACACCCATATACGCTTAATCCTCTAACTGCTGCAAAAATAGTCAAGTATAAAGTTTACCCTTCAGCTTTGTATGGTTGAGAATCGTGGCAATTAAAGCAAAGAGAAATTCATATGTTAGAAAAGGCACAGAATTTCATTGTTAAATCAATTCAAGGTTTCAATTTAAGAACTAGAACGGACATGTGTACATCTTTGCTTGGGTGGTTTTCAACTGAAGTATTTATCAGTATAAAGAAAATGCAATTTCTTGGTAGAATTTGTTTAATGAATGTGGGTTATTTAACACGCGAGATTTTCATCAAACGGTTATTTGAATTCAGTCTGACTCATTGTAGTAGAGGATTTGTGCCTGATATTGTTTATATTCTAAAAAAAAGAAATACAATTTGTACTATGTTATTGAATTCATGAAAAATGGCGTATTTCCTAACAAATCACAATGGAAGTTTTTAATCAATGGCCATGTAAGAAACTATGAAGAAACTAGATTATGTGGAAAAATGTACGTAGATTGTGATTTTTCTCGATTTATTCTCTAACACAACACAATACATCCTTACACGGTTTGGAAACTTGCTCTACGTTTTCCACAACATGGTGTTTATACCAAACGAATTGTTAAACTAAGCATCGAAATGTGCGAAAATGAAAATACTTACCTGTGTCACTACTGTGGCTTCATGTATAAAGATGTCATTATTCATAGCGTGCTTGAATAATCTCACACAGAGAGTTTACGAGACCAGCTCTGGTGCTTACTCAGCACAGTGAAAGAAATAGATTTTGAAGTTTACCTTCATGAATTGTCTAACTATCAATTAATACATGTTCTTCTCGGGGGTATCATCAACTACGATATATCCCCATTTGAACTAGAGGATTTTAGATTAAATTCATCGTCAGAATCCTACAACATTATCATGCTATTTAACTGTGATGTTTGGTCATTTTGACATTTTGACTTCAAAATGAAATATTCACGTCTTAAATCATATGATTATAATATGTATTTGATTTAACTGTAAGGATCTCCTTAAACGATTTTATTTTCTTAACTTTAGGAGTTGTTGTATATATTGTGTGTACGAAAACTCTGTGTCTATTGTTTACATTGTACTAATTTAAATGCTTCTTATGTGTATATGTGTGTACAAACGCACAATTATTTTCTACAATGTCAATGTATATATGTTCTTTTTGTATAACTCTTCATATTTTGAGGAAATAAAAGAAATAATAATAATAATGGAATGTTGTGTTTGAAAACTTTAACCGCTAATTCATGTATAACCGGTGGTGTAAGATTGTTCCGGGTTACCTACCTTCCACCCTACACTCGCAGTTATTAGTTGAATGCGCCCTATAGCGGCATGTAAAGTAAGAGTTACCTCCCTTGATAGACTCACCTTCGCCATCTTTGGGTCAAGATCAACATGGCTCTGTTTCGACAAATTTTGAAAGCGCCCGTTTGGGCGAGACAATGCGGCAGAGTTCTTACATCTGTACAGACAAGGCGAGGATATGCCGATGTGGCTTCAACTGATATGCCATTATCATTTGCCTCACCAAATGCTGTAAGCTCCTAACTAACCGTTTGAGCACTGTCCCAGCAAATCGCCGGGTCATTACTAACCTAATATTTAGTGACGGGCGATTGTTGCATTTTACTTGTCCGATTTGTTCAGAATTATTATACAATTTTTATTTATTTAAGTTACGATGCTGTGAAGTGAATACGTTTTGTCAGTCGAGATGTTCAAAATGTTTAGCTTACGTGGTTTTGAAACACATAATAATCACAGAATAGGTTATCACGACAAAATCTCAGTTTAAGTGAAAAGTAGTTATGTGTTTATATGTTTGGCATTTGGCTAACATTAAAACAGGATAATAAAGAAAGCCGTTATGCTTATGATCACTATGTGCCTGAGAGTGGATGTGTGTAGTGGTGGGGGGGGGGGGGGGGGGGGGTTGGTTGTTATTCAACAGATCATGAACATCCAAAGTGAATTGATTGGTCCATGGGTAATTTTTTACTTAAATGTAGTGTAATTAAGAATTATTTAAAAAATGTACACAAACATGTCATTGAAACATATGATTGTAATATTTTACAAAGGATATTAGACATCCAAAGAAAACTATCACTATAGATATTCTTTCTATCCATGCATGATTACATGGTAGCACCAACTCCCTCTAATAGTTACACAATAGTGCACATGATTGAAAATTAGATGAACTATTAAAACATGTTTATATACAGATATTGAATAAGATTTACTTTTTTCCTCTAGATTTATTACAACAACACCAATGTGAAACAAATTGATGTGCCAGGTATGAATGAATCATTTGGTATCCTAGCCACTCATGTACCACTGATCACAGTCCTTCAGCCTGGAGTTATGACTGTAAAAGAAGAGGACGGAACAGCTAAAAAATTCTTCGGTACATACGTTTGATATCTATACATTTGTACATCAAAATGCTAACCAAAAAGATGTGTAATTTAGGATACTGTAGATAAAATCCAGGGCAGTATTACTATGATGGGCATTGAAATAGGGACTAATCTTGGTCAAAATGCCTGTTACATTTCAGGCATTGATGGATTATGCTGAGAATAATGAATGAATGTTTTGTTTAAATCAACTTATCGACATAAGACAGCAACATCAGTAGGAAAGCATTGAACATTGTCTACATTGGTACTGGATTTAGACAGTGGGGCTACCTGTAATTATAACTGAGAGCAGCTTAACTACAGCAATTGATGCAGATCTGTCACAAATGTTTTTCTTGGTCTTTAGTATCAAAATAAAAGAACAATAAAAAATGCTTAGAGATTTGTTTGTAAAATACTTAACATGCAAGTATGTTGTTTTTTAACACAGTGAGCAGTGGTTCAGTCACAATTAACAAAGACTCTACAGTTCAGATTTTGGCTGAGGAAGCTTATCCTTTAGACAACCTTGATCTTCAGGTAAGGATGTGATGGTTATCTTCTTGATAGTTCAGGAACTTATGAAGTTGGCATGTAATTTAATAGACTGTAACTTGAAGAAAATCATGCTGTTATCGTAAAGGCTTATTTCTTTTGGAGTAATGATTTGTCAATTCTCCTTCAAAATTTATTATTGAGCAGTTTCGTAAAACAAGGTTATAAAATAAGAAGAAAACCACAAATATTTGAAAGTCACTTTCAAGATGTCATGATCTAAATACAGAAAAAAAATATTGTACAAAATTTTGGACAGCTTCGGTATGAGTTAATGTATCAGTAACAGGATCTAAATATGTTTCTCACTTTTCTTATTAATTTCTTTCTGAATTATCATGTTTTTGGTTCCTTGCATACCTTTAGTGATATGAATTTTTCAGTATTTACTTGTTCAGGTAAACTTTATGGATATCTGTTAATACAGCTGGATATCATAGGACATTAGTATAATAAAATGTGATTGGTTATAATTTTAACCAAATATAATTTCTGATGAAATGACAAGCCATATAACATCCCATCTTAAAATTTTATCATTATAGTTAGTTTCAGACTGTTAAATGGGAAAGCCAGATCATACCCTGTCTACAGATTTTATTGTGATTTGTGTCAGTGTGGTGAAAGAGCAAGTCAATAACACCCAGACTAACAATTTGATATGGTGTGTTGTCAGATTATATCGACTAATGGTATATTTTCAATCAGTTGCTGAGTGATTGGCTCTTTGTTGTTAATGTACTGTGAATGAATTTATGTTTACTTATTGTTTTGATTTAACCACATTTACCTTTTCTACAGGCTATAAATAGTGGACTGGTTGAAGCACAAAACAACTTAAAGGCTGCTACAACGGACAGAGCTAGAGCTGAGGCCCAAGTAGCTGTGACTTGTTATGAGGCCATGAGTAAGGCTGTAGATGTGCAAAAGTAAATGATACAGACTTCAGACTTTACAAATGTGTTTTGAGTGCTGACATAGGAACTACTACAACATCTATTCAAACAATGGTAGTATTTTTTATGACTTGTAAATGTTGAATGTTTCTTGACATTTCAAAATGATTAAATTCTGTACAGTGTATTGTTTTCTGTTTTGTTTTTTTTCTGTATGGTGTTTTCCTGCCCCAGGATGCTGATCTGCTGCATAATTGGAGGATTTGCCAAGCATTTTTTTTTTTTTTTTTTTTTAAATCTAGATTTTGTTTAGTGCCAAGTAAGAATTTCTCTTTCTATACACTTGAATGATCCCCTATTATCAGTGGATAGGTATCATGACATGATCTTGGTTGTTGTGAAGCAAGCAGTTATAAAACTGAACATGTTAGATAAACATGAACAAGTTGCCAATACTTTGTCCTCCGTGAAAATTTCCCTTCACTGGTCATTGTTGATATATTTAGGCATCACAAAAGATGTGATTATATCTCTCTCAGAATCGGGTCAGGATCCCTCAAAATTGAGGATGAAACATGTTTATAGGGGCCATGTTATAAATACAAACTTATCTCTCACCTCTGCACATAACTACATGTGTCACATACGGAACAACCATGTGATATAACTGTTCAATATAAGTGCATTCAGTGACCTTTACAACTATGAGATAGCAACATACCATTATCACTTCACTATTGATGGACAACTTGTGGCTTATTTACTTGCAAACTTTTCTATCAAGTTTATCATTAGTATAATAGTAAAATTAAGCATGTATGAGTCGATTTGTCTCAAAGATACACACTTGTGTGATGCTTTAACAATAATGTGTCCATGAACATGGCTCTTTTAAAACGATGACATAGAATCGTGACAAACAATGACCTTGACATTTTGCCAATGACTGTCGTATTCAATCTTGTTCGAGGTAGCTCAAAGATAACTTTTATGAAGTTAATGACCATAATTCGTCTATGAAAATGGCTCCTGCAGTGATTACCAGAAAGTGTTGATGACATTATGCTCTCTGAAACTCATTCAGAGTACCTCAATGTTATGCTTGAAGTAAACAAGAAACTATGTGTAGCAAATGAGTTTGGTGCAATTTGACAATGATGTGATAAAGATCTAATACATATTCTGTCAGTATAGGATGAAACACTTGGGCTCAATCTCATTCATGCAGAGACAACAGACACTTTGTTTCCAAAACCTTCTATTTAACTGATACAGCCCTTGTAAGAACAAGACAAAACAACATCTCGTAGATTTATTTTATTCCTTGACTTGTTTCTCTGCATTGTGAATATTCCACAAGAGTGCCGACAACATAACAGTCGGTGTTTGACAAACTTAACAGTATAAATAAAATGGTTTGATCCATCATGCAAGTGCTATCACATACAATCTCTGCTTATTAGCATTAACACATATAATAGGCGGCAGAAATCGCAAAATATTTGGACTGGAGCACATCAAAAGCAAACATACAAATCCTTGCACCAAGATTACAAATATACTGGTACGTTTCTCAATATATGTACACTCTGAGAATTATGCACAGCTATATTCTGAAAAAGCATACATTCTGAGAGAAGTTGAACGAATAGGTCATACTCATAATTACACACCTGAACATAATTTACATTAATATTAAATATTTGAACATACATAAAAAAAATCTTGAACATTTCATTCTTCATGATACTGGCCATACTGTGTTTGACTCCTTGCACATCAAGTATAAGCAGGAAGAACAAAACCAACCTTATCCAACTACGTTCCTGACAGCATACACGTGTTGTAAAACAGATTCAGGTTTTTAGCTGAAAAAAAAACATGACTGACTACCAAGTGCATCATTGTCTTTCAGTCCATATAAAGCATCGAGTCCAGTATATAATCTTTTTGACATGGACACACTTTTTGTCGAAGACTAATAAACACCCTGATACATAAAAACATGACGCTCACTTCTGAAAACATTACACACATAAATAATTATCCATGAAGTATTATGGCACATTGATTGAAGCCAGTTGTAAAAACCAAAGTGTCATAACTACACAATTGAAACTCGCTAAGTCTGAACATACCACTTTCTTCACCCAAAACAGGTGTATCTGATATTGGTATTTTATACAGTAAAAATATGAAGGAAGCAGATTCTTACCACACGTATACATAGATTCTTAGGACATGTATACAGATCACATATATTTCTTACATTTATAGTGATGGCTATGTTTCACAGATTTTAAGTTAACTACTGCAGCAGTTGATACTTAATCAAATAAGATGTCACTAATTCAATAATGCCTCTTTGATAGTCAAGTGTTAAATTCAATGAGAACCTGAAATTTGAAGAAAATTAATCATTTCCCTGCTACCAATTTATGATCCACCGACATGACTTGTTTAGAATAAAATCTTATATATGAAGTAATCTTGATTATTTGTGTATAGTGAAAACCAAAATTTTCAGGTATTTCTTGATACATCCTCATCTTGCATGTATATTGGGCGATGAAAACATTCAATTACCAGTGGCTGTTTCTGACTAGAGCTCCTAATTGGTATACAATATGTCAGATCCGATCTATGGATCATATGACTAGCACTTGTGTGTTAAATACACACTACGCACACACAATATTAAATATACAACATATGTGCATCTATATACATTTACTCTGTGATCAAGGTGATGTTTTATTAGTCAACATATACCACCAGTCTTGTCTTACATGGCACAACATGCAGCTGAACAACCACTCATACACTGTCAATTTCACTAAATCTTTTACAAAATCACTCTTTTATAATAATATATAAAAATACACATGATCATTTAAATATGCATATAGTGCCAAGTCTTTCTCAGGCTCCTATACCAAACATTCTGACCGACAAATGTCGTGCAGGACATCAGTCAATCAGAATTACTGATTTCTGGTAGAGGAGCCAGAGGAAACTGGACGAATGCATACAATATTGTCTAAGCTTCACAGGTCTTTGAATATTGCACTTTTGAAGATATTAAAATTTGGTGGGATGGGTCCAGTTTACAAATAAGTTCACTGCAACATCCTTCTAAACAACAAGTTTAAAACAGTGGCCCTATATCTCATAGTGAGTCTGGATGGATAAGAGTATCTAGGATGACAGTAATGCTTAATACCGGTATATATATCACTCATATTGTGGTTGTTACAATTTCATAATGGTACAGTATTGACACATTATCTCTTATTTATGTACACAACTTAATATATAAACAGTAGATCAAAAATTGAACATTTATCAAGTTTCAAACCTTCATTTCTTGCATCTCCAACGTTACTGATGAAAAATCAAACAAAATAAATATTAGGAACTGGTTTTTCCTTTCTTGTTCTCAAAGTTATTCATGTGATATTCAGCACGTTAACTTTCTTATTTGCGTATATACATATTTTGTAATGAATAAATAGGACTGATTAGTTATGTTTACAAAACTGGCAGAAATATTTCAATTAAAGTATTGACTATAAACAAATATAAAGATGAGAAACTTGTCAAATGTACAGGCTGGAGAGCTTTTGGAACTTTTATTTAGTATAGAAGTGTAAAAGTATACCAGTTTATGATAAAAAATAAGTTACCTTAGTCCTGAAAATCTGTTACACATGTTAACAGTCGATAACATAAAAAAAAACTTGGTATATCATGTATCCATCATAATTCAGCTTAAAAACTTTTTTGGTCACATATTTTGTCCAATAAATAATTCCATCCTGTAATCACCGATATCACATGGGCACTGTCATTTCCCTGGACTTGAACACCAGTGGGCGGAGGCTAGAGTGAGGTTACACCTTACAAGCATAACATTACTACCTCTCAAACAACATCTCATGCAATGTATTTTACATGAAAATAATTGGTTATGACACAATCTTGGAATACAACATTCACTTTTAGTTAGAAATTATATATAGATTTGTTACATACAACTTTTCATATCATTTCATGTTTTTGCAATACACCAATTAGGGATCAAATGTCTTTGTTTTATTTATTGTGTGTCCAGTACAATGTCTACTTCATCACACATTAGAGATATTCATTTATCTGACAATGAGGAAATATTTCCAACAAATTGGTGTTAACTAGAGTGTATATTTTGTACCACGGATATTTCACAAATATCCTGGATGATTTCCAATACTTTGGTATAGAGATCATGTTCATAGGCATCCATTTGGCTTTTATTTTGACAAGCTTTTTTCTGTACACTGCCTTACAGGCCTTGTTTTAAAGACATTTCAGAAAATGTTTTCCCACACACTGTCTAGGGTGTCCTGTTTGTTTGTAACTGGTCCTGTGCTCTCAGTTTCCACGACAACTCCAAGGATACACCTGGCTTCCTCCAGTAACTGTAACAATGGTATCACATGTTCTCACAAAACTCAGAGATCAACAAGTACAAAATATTCTGATCAAAAAGCAGAAAAAAATACTTCATTAACTTGACTCATGAAAATATTAATTACTGACTGGAAAAACTCTTAAAGTTGTAAAATCTAGAAACAGGAATGAAGAAAACACAAACACAGAATGTCAAGTTTTATCAATTTTTTTATAAGTCATGACTCCTGGAAGCGACTAACAGAACAGGATGAACAGAAATACACCAAAACATTGATATATACATCACAAAATTTAAACATAAAATTTTACTAATCTTACGTATGTGGGGTTTGATGAAAACTTTGATAGACAGTGATTACCTTAGTGATGTCAAACTCATCAAACAGCTCCTGTATAAACCTCCGTGCAGTTAGTCGGAAAGAACAAATGGTCATGATGTGGCTCACCTCGGAGTAAAAGCAAACATCCTGAAAAACTTTGGGAAACTTTTGTTTCAATCTGAAAGAAAAAAAATATCCATTTGTTTGGAAAGCCAAAAATAGAAACAGATTACTTTCAATTTTAAAAGAACTGTACCATAGCACTGTTTTTCACCTTCATTTCAGCTGATGGTTGCTACTCACACAAGTTGGAGTGTTACCTTTACTGGATAAATGTTCAATAATTTTGATCAGAATACACTCTTATTTCATTACATTTTGAGGCAAACCTTCAAAATGCTTTGTCACTAACTTTGTATTCAGCAAATTATTAGATTCATTTTGTAGAAAAAAAATAATTTCTATACATAACTTACCCCAAAAGTCCCTGCTCTGACCCCTTGACGCCGACAGAACTACTGAGGTTGGTGACCAGCTTTCGAATCTCTTGTCTGATAAGAGCACGTCCATGAACACTGTCAAATGACATCTTTTTGGTTGCTGTGAAATGAATGAAAAAAATATATACACATTTAAGAATAGTTTTTGTTGGTAAATATTAGCTAATGAAGGCAAGATTTTATGTTGTTTCAAAAGAGTTTTCTATTTTGTGAAATCAAGTCATGAAATGAAAAAAAAAGTTTGCAAGCTCTTTCACAAGTCATTTTGGAGAACTTGTCAATATTAGTAATTAGTGTATCTCCCAACAAAGGTTTTGAAAAACCACCGGTCTTATCTTCAAAAAGACAAAAGACTTTGGCTGTGAAGGCAATATCACTGATACTATATACATCAATAAATTCTCCATGTGTCTGATACATCAGTAACATTTCTACAAGAAAATAATTACATAAATTTGTATGAATCTAGACACAGAATGTTCTTTTCTCGATCATATGCCCATAATTCAAACTGTAATCATTATCACATAATATGATAGGTACTGTAAGTTAAGAGATATAACATGTTACAAGGCATATACAGAGTGGAAAGCATCTGTTAAGTATAAAGTTAACCCTGTTGTTATGTAAAGCAATGCAATTTTTACAATAAATGAAAGGACTAGAGCTATGAAAACATTTTATCAAGCAGTAGGGCCATGTCTGATAATAAGCTCACTCATTGTTATAGAGTGCACTTCATTGTCCTTTAATAACCCTACTTCCCCTCTTGAGTCAAAGGTTATGTGTCAGTCTGCTAGTACTGAGATAAACACTGTAGACTCAAGATTACCTGGACCCTTGGTGTAATATACTAGAATGTGGACTCTTGAAAATCTCTATGGGAAGTGTTCATTATTGTAAAAGTGACTTTAATGGCAAAATTCTAAGGCACCAGTACTTAATCTCATCATGAGAGTACCACGGATGTCTAATTATGCTGCTAGATAAAAAGTGATGTCTGTTTGAAACAGGTGGAAGAAGGAATGGGTTAGCATTATAAGTTTTGATAATGATGATGTATCCAGTCTGATGTAAATCATTTTTTTGGTTACAAGAGAAATACAAAACAAAAGGATAGAAACTGGAATGGAAGAAAAATATAGAAATTAAATTTTCAATTAAATATGTTTTTTTTTTAATTAGCTTTTTTTTTTGTTTATGGACTGTCAACAAGAAGTAAAGTTCCACTTCATATTTAGTCATCAATGAAACCATCAACTATTTTAGTTTATAATCATGATATTATCATGGTACAATGACAATTCAGATATTAAGTAAATATGTGATTATTATAAAGATATAGGATAATGGAAGTATGTAATATACATGACAACACTTGTATAAATATTTGATATGTACAGAGCAATACAAGTATTTAATAAACACAAATTAATATTTTCAAAAATACATGAGGCTATGTATAAATATATGAAACACGCAGCTAACTGTATCAGACAGTAGGGCCCTTAATAAAGTAGACATCATAGAGAGGTCAGGCCTTAAAAGGGGTCAGAAACGTAGAAAACATGTCACACAACACAGACCATAGTGCCCTTAATAAAGTAGACATCATAGAGAGGTCAGGCCTTAATAGGGGAGAGAAATGTAGAAAACACATAGCACACAACACAGACCATAGGGGTCTTAATAAAGTCAACATCACTGAGAGGTCAGACCATAATAAGGGTCAGAAATGTTGAACAGACATCGCAGACAACAGACTATTAAGTACACATCAAAGAAAAATCAAACCTCAATATGGCCTGAGATGTAGAATAAACATCTCATAGAAGGCAGAATGTAGGGCCTTTCGCATGGCAGACATTACTGAGAGGTCAGACCTTAATAGGGGTCAGAAATGTAGAATAAATATGGCACATCACACAGATCACAGACTCCTTAATATAATAGACATCACATAGCGGTCAGATCTCTAGGCAAGAGGTGTAGATGACACATAGAGGACAGAGTGTAAGGCCTGTGTTATAGTTGACATCAAAGCATGGTCAGGCTTTAGGCCAATTCATTCCAAGTCTTTCAATGTAAGAATCCTATTAAATTTAGAATTACTTCAAGGATGCTGACTAGATATTAGCCAACTTTAAAGCTGTGCTTTACTTATTAAATTATCAACTTTTATAGTCATACACAAATATAAGAACATATATGTAATGGGAAAAATTAATTCAGTAAGAAGTGTAATAGGTGAGTGAATAAAGAATACAACAAAACCTTCATAAATAGAATACCAAAACTTGGTTTATCATGAAAAACTAGTTTTTGAACAAAAAACGTTATAAAATTACTTGAATATATGTGAATACGCATGTAATTTACGAGTAAGTGCTATAGATATATGTATACATTACAGAATATGACATAGCAAGTTACGGAGAAGAAAAAAACAAAACAGTTAAGTGCACAGAAAAAATAAAGCCCAAGTAATGAAAGTCATGAAACTAGTCAATCTGTCAAGATCAGATGAGCAACAGTATAATGGATAGAACAACATCTGGACTAGTTTCAAAACTTGCCAAAGGAAAGTGAAAATCCAGGTATCACATTGACTAAAACTTGTTCTTACCCTCAAATGATCTCTTGAACCTTTAGTATCAACTAGATATAACTCAATTTTACTTTTTTTAAAGTTAACATGAAATTCAATACTTAACCATTCCAGCATTTCAGTTCATAGTTACTGTATTTTCCAAATTATAAGCCGCAACTTTTTTCCTTGTGATTCAGGCATGCCGCTTATATACCGATGCGGCTTATATGTGGATGAAAAAAAAACCCCAAAAATTGGCAGAATGAAGGAAAAATTGTTGCGTACCAGTACAAGATGGTACTGCTTTTTTAAAGACCTGCCGACCAAATGTTTGTGACTGATTAATTAATTAATTAATTAATCATACCTTAAAATACAAATCACATTTATATCTTCTTGACTTTCGCAGTTACTTCACAGCAATTACAAAAATGTCTGAGGGAAGTTTACAATAGCCTATTGCACCCTGCGATCAATAGGTCATCCAGTGACAGATTAAATCCTAAAATGACCACCAGGCTTGTTTATGACATGAATGGCTTTGTGTAACTTACAAGAAATAATATGAGACTATGAGAATTTTGTCAGCATGCAAGGGCTTCCTTAATATTTAACAATACAGACACCGATGGAGAGATTTTCAGTAAATCGTACGTAACAGCAGGCCCTATATCTGTGCACTAACAACCTTTGAAGGCTCCAAGCCTTCCCAGTTTGATATTTGCTATTTTATGTATTTTGAAAGATCAGAATAATTTTTGTATACATCAATACAATAAAGGATTATTTGCAGAAAATTCACTTCCAAACTTTATTAAATATTTGACCGACGATCTTGATAAATTTTCATCTGTTTTCTATTATATCAACAAACTTTGGTCAACATAATGGTCATTACATTGTAAGAAAGGGCATGGCTCTTATACAATGCAGCTAATATGTGGATCAAACAGAAAAAAATCAATAAAAAGTGACCCTGGGGCTTATATACTAGTGCGACTTATAACCCAGAAAATACAGTAATTATTAACAGCATTAGTTTAAACTATAGTTTTCTCTTTATAAATTATTTCACCAAATGATTTTAAAACAATACATTTTTTTAACTTAATTATCACGTCAGAACATCTTAACATCAGTCACTCTCTTATGTAATGTGATAATCTGGAGAAGCAACAGAAGAGCAGGAAGCAGAGAAACATACAAGAGTCAGTACTAGTACAGCTGGTCATGCTTCCAGGTGTGGCAGACGACAGCTCGTTGAGACTGTCAAGGCGAGTCCGTCGGTCACCTTTCTGTTGTTTGACTGCCTCCAGCAAACTGCCTGGGTCCTCCTCATGTTCTATCACAGTCACAGAACCTTGACCGTCGGACTCAAATTCAGCATCAGGTATACCTTCAAACAACAGTATATTCATTAATTTACATTCTGGTATCCTGTACCCTCAACATCAAACTCATCATTTAATATGTTATACTTTCATCATATTTCTTTAAAAAAAAAGGGATATTCTGAATACATCCTGTTTTCAGATTAACCTCACTTCTTTCAAATGGATTCTGTTATCAAAATTAAGAACTGGAAATTTTGTCCTAATAGTTTCAACTTGGATATTTTGCACAGTTTATTCCTACACCCACCATCTTCTCTGTCCCCTAGTCCATCGTTCTGTCCTATTGTTTGGAGTCTGTAACAGGCCACACAGACAGACATGTCATGATCAGATCCTATAGTAACTCCGTCACCCCTGGTAGTTGATGAGGATGTTCTAGACCTCTTGCCAGATGCTAGGAATATATAACAGTGAGAGATTTATCATTGGTTGTAATTTGTTCCATACAAATAGTAAACATTTATATTCTATGCTTTCCTGTTAATGTTTTAGCGACAGTAGATGGATATCAATATTTTTGTACAAAAATGTGAATTATATTCTACTCAGTACCTATACATATGTGAGAAAGTTGTAATACAGATAACATATAAATGACCTTTTTATATATCCACTTGTAGCACACATACATGAATAAACATGGCACTCATCATTGTTTGAACTTTATTTTCTCTTTTCCATTCCTTTCTCTTCTCTGTTTTTGCTCTTAATGATAAGAAATTTGAACATTCCTTTGCAGAAATAGTGGTGATAATCTTAAACTGCCAAATCCAAGATGGTCGGTTGGAAGCCATTTTGTTTTTTTCCTGATTAGTTCCAAAATGAAATGTGCACAACCAGAGACCAAAGGAAACCTATGTATGAAATTTGAGAAAGATCCATCCAGTAATTCTCAAAAATGAGTGATAATTAACTTGCAAAGACAGCCCACCATCTGATGATAGTGGGCTAAAGGTAACTAAAGCTCAATGCACATTTCAGTAACTTATCAGTAGTGTTATTGAGTCAGGATTGTTATAAAATGTGAAATGTGAAGCATAAAATTGTAAGGGAGTAGAGACTTACAAGACACCTTCCTGCTGCGACTTGTTTGAACATCCTCTGTCCGGTCAAATACACCTGATATAGACTGTGATCGCTTGTCCTCACCTTCATGAACCTGTGCCATTAAAATACGAGATCAGTTCATAATCAGATTTTAAAATTGATGTCAAGATAATATCATACAGTTGGTTAGGACAGTAAATACCATTATATAGAAGATCTCTTCACAGAGACTTTTTGACAGTAATAACCTGTTTAAATTGCCAGTCGATTCTTTACACATTACCCTCTCATCAAATGCTGTCCCTAAAATGCTTACTGGACCATCACAGATATAACAGTGCTATCATTCAATAGCTTACTTGTCTCGCATCATGTTATGTATTGTTAAAAAAAATAAAGTTTCAAAAGAGAAAAAGACCAGGTAATCTAGAATGACCTGCTCCACCAGCAGCAAAAGTTTAGGTCAAATTCAAGGAAATTCAAGTCCTCAAAATGAGAACCATGTAAGTGATATAAGAATGAGCATTAAACAACTTCATTCAACCCACCTTAAGCATACAGTATGTAAATACTCACAACAAAAAACCCAAGGTTTCATACACATTCAAAAGTCTGTACATGACATATGATGTTATGAATAACACTGCTAAGGATTTAACATTAGAGAAATCAAAATGTCATTTGTATCAGAAATTCTCACCTCAAACATCATGTTGATATCTACAGGTAAGGTAAGGCCAACAAACTCAGCTTCTCCTGTGTGTGGTCGACGCTTCTGTAATGATGCCTTGGGCATAGCACCCATAGGGCTGGAGGGCCGTCCATCCATCTCAGACAGAGATACACCACTAGCATTTCTTGTCATTCCCAAACTGTCATATAAGATCATATCAATCAGGGAAACAAGCAAGACTTTAGAAAGATCTATTTATTGTGCATTCTTGGCAGAATTCAAACTTCTTTTGCATGTAAATACGTATCTTTAATTATTGTACTTTATATATTGATCTACTTGTAACAACCTAAATTTGTGTAAGAAATGAGAAGAAATACAGAAATATATTCCTTGTTTTGATGTGTTTGGATCAATATTTAAATCATGCACTATTATCTATTATTGTATACCTCAGTCTGCTGGCTGTTCCACCAAACAGATCAAGACTCAGTTTAGAATCTACACTTGACTTTCGACTGAGAGTGCCTGTTGTTCCTTCCTCATCATATAGGTTACTGATGCCGAGGTCAGAATCTAGGTCAGAGCTGACTGTACGCTGACGTTTGATTGACCGCCAAGTGGCATACCCATAAGCATCTCTACTGGTAGTATACATTATGGCATTCTCTGATGTCAGGCCTTCCATCCGTGATGAGGACAGAATTCCATATATGGGGTTACCTAGCACTTTTCTTACACTAGGAACACGGTGAAGATTCATAGATTTTCTCCTTACAGTTGATGGATGGATGAGGTCTTTGGTTTCAAGGGAGGAGCCCTGCTGTACTGACTTAACCCCTACGGTGTTGAGGGAGGTAGAGCTAGCGATTGGACTAAGTGATGCTACCTCTGATGAGATATAAGTGTTGGGTCCTGACTCACATGAACTCACACCACTGGTTGTAGAGTCTGTATTGAAACTATCTGCACGATTCTTGCTTGACCTTGAACTTTCACTACTACTGCTCCTTCCATCACGGAAAATAGGTGAGCGTTTGATCACCTTACTTTTGTCCAATCCTTCTTGTCGTAACATGACCTTTGAGTCTGTGACCTCTTTGTCTTTCACACTTTCGTCCTTGTCTGTTGACACAGGTTCAGGTTCTGATGATTCATCAGGTAAACATATCACAGGTATAACGGTGGACTCCTCAGAGTTACTTTCCTTGACTGACACTGATGTGCTCTGGTTTTGGGAGCCAAACTCTGAGGCCAGAGGTAGATATTCTGAAGGCGACACTGGTGAAAGAGGATCCTTTGGACTCAACCTTTTATCAGAATCATCACTTAGAGTTCTATCTCGCTGTTTACTACTTCTGGAGAATTTTTTGGCAGTTCGAGGTTGTAACGGCATGCTATTATACCTTCTATAGGTGGGAGACTCAAAAGGAAGGGTTTTACTACGTATTATTGCCGCCTTAGGGTTGTCTGGAATGTTTGTGGTGTCTATGTTTCGGTTGTGGTTATTATCACAGGCCAATCCATCACTAATTAATGTCTTTTCCTCCTCAGCAATAAAGAAGAGATTATTTGAGGCTATTCCAGGGGAGTGCAGACTTGTGCGGTAGTCCGGATCAGACCGTGATGTACTGCCAAAACTCAAGACACTCTCTGTTGCATCTTCAATGTCACTTAGCATCTCTGCACGGTCCTCAACCACTGGCCACATCTCCCCACGTGAGTGCCAACAGGACTCCCAGCCAAGCTGAGTAAGGAGTTCTGCCCCTTCACGGGTACTGGCCAGCAGTCCCAACACATAGAAAGCTGTCCTGTAACATAAACCATGAAAGTATGCAGACAGTTGTTTACAATTTCTTTTCCTGTTGTCAAGTAGATGAGTTGGAAACAGTGACATAACATTATGAATGTCAGAAATTGTTATAAAATGAGCTAGGTAAACTATCATTCATAAGAAATGTGTTTCTACTGGGCATTTCTGATTATACATAACTATCTAGTCTTAACCTGATCAGAACTTACATACACACTAATAAAATTTCCATACAAAAGAGGTCACTCCATCTACATCATTTGAACAGATATCTTACCCTCTAATAGAAAACACTCCACATTCTTCAGCTAGTCGTATTATTTCAGGAAACAGACGTTCCTCATCCAGCCAACCAACACCCCACGTAGAACTTCCGATGTGACCCTACAAAGCAAAGATTTTCAACTTCAGACTATAACTAAAGACAATGTTTATTTTAATAATCATTTCAAAACATTTCAAATATCAATTTATATAAATTTTTTTGGCCAAAATTATGTCATGCAAGCTGTCCTAATTTGGCAGGTAACAAGATCAAAGAAAAGTGTATTACCACCATGTCAACTAATGCCGGTACATAATGACTGTGAAAAGTAACGAACACATGTTCAAGTAAAAGTATTAAACATGTTTGGTAGAAATGGGGTTGATATCTAAATGAATGTTATACAGGATAAAGAGATTTCTAACAAGTACACACCACAGCCCAAAGGGCAGTCTTCAGTTTCACATTGTCTTCATCTGTCATCAGTTCTTGGCATCGGATACATTGGAAATATTCTTCTACATACTCCTGAAGTGAAAATATAAATAAAAATAATGTTATACTATCATCAAATGTAATTGAAATTTGCAACAACAATTTAATACTACATGATTTATTCAGCTAGTTTAATTTAACTTTTACTCTGTAATGAGAATTTCATTGATTGCAATTACCTGCTGTCGTAAAAGCTGAAAGCCATCTTTGGTTTGTGTAAGCTGACCATACAAGTGAACTGGCAGGAAGGCATCTTTACTTGGACGCCTGTAAAAAGATATTTCAAGGTTAAGAAGTTCTAGTCCATTAAGAGGAAAACTGTACTCAATAGTTTATGACCAAACACAATATGTTATCTCAATTTTTTTTTCACTGTTATAATTTAGATTACCGTATAAGGATTTGAAACTGTTTATATGAGTACAGATCTCAAATATTACTTTGGTTATCCCAACAATTTCATCACATTTTGATTATTAGCTTTTAGTCCTAATCAGGTGAAGACAATATTATGATAATATGGAGTAATTATAAACCAAATCTACTGGTTTTCATGATATAACATTTTCTAGAAAAAACAAGACATTGGCAACACTATATGCATTCCCATAAAATGTCACAAGCATAAAAACCTTTTATAAAATATAGTGATGGACAACAATAGATGAAATTCAATATTTAAGTCCGACAAGCATGTAGGATTACAAACATGACAAATATTTCCTTGGAGACGTAACTTTTAAGACAGAGTTCGAATTGTATATTTTCAACACAGACTTACTTTCGACTCGACCTTCTTGAAAAGGACCCCTCAAATGTCTTCTCGTATGTTGTGAGAGCTTCATTTAACAGTTCTTCAACAATGCTCACATACTTTGTGTCAAATGTCTGCAGAAATAAACAAATTTATATAAGAATACTAGGTATAAAAAGACATAAATCTAAAATAACAAACTGATTACAGCTAAATGTACAATGTAGAATGCTTCTAAGTGCTGGGAGAACTTACAGATGCTGTATATAAAGGATTAAAATAAAGGAATAAGGGAAGAGGTATACCAGTATACCTTCAGCTGAGAAGAAACATGTACACACCTTTAGCAGAGAAGATACAGGTACTTACCTTTGCCCAAATCTCCAATTCATTAGATATGTAATTAGCATCCATTAGGGCACGGAATCCACGTGGTGTTGACATGAACCTACAGGTAAGTAATCGACCCTTCTCTCCAAGGTGTAGACATGAAGGTCGTAATTTTATCAACGAATTTAGGCATGTCTGAAATACAAAGTGAGAGATCATTTTGCTTCATCCAGCACTAACAGCATTCACACCAATTAATTTCACTATCATTCCACCAATGATAAACAGACTTAAAAAATTATGAAACGGCCAAAATAGTGTCATTCAGAAATCCACCAAAGGAAATTACAGCAACGGAAATAATTCCATTGTGAATGAGTAAACAGTCAGTCTGTTAAAGGAAGTTTACATTAATGACACCCTCAAGCTATCTTTGGCTTCATATACAAGTGATTTTTTGGCTTTTTTTAATGTTCACCACTGAAATATTTTCACTATACCAGTACATTTACTTCTTAGAAGAAAGACAAGTTGCAAATCAGACTTCCAGTCTCCAGCAAATTAAAAAAACCCAGATCCATCACACTAACATCAACTTCACAAGCCTCCTCCATGACTCCAAGCGCAGCCAGGGAGATACTGCGGCTCTGGTCATACAACTGTGTTGTCAGGAGTTCCATCCCCCACGTACTGAACCCAGGAACTCTGACACGAAGTAAGACACGCAGAAACTTTGTACAGAACATACGGGCACTCTGCAAGAAAATAAGCACAACAATCATAAATACGTAATTTTAATCTTTTGATTACTACATAAAAATAACCAATAATATCCTGTAACCAATAATGTTAAAATGAAAGGAAGACCTCCACAATATTTCAAAATACCAAATATGTTTAAAATACCAGAGACTTTATAGTCATACAGTAGACACTTACCTCTGTAGACACGGAGAGCCTCAGCTGAAATTGTCATACAGTAGACACTTACCTCTGTAGACATGGAGAGCCTTAGCTGAAATTGTCATACAGTAGACACTTACCTCTGTAGACATGGAGAGCCTTAGCTGAAATTGTCATAGTGATACAACAGAGACTTTGAAATTGTCTACAGTAATACCTCTGTAGACCTACAGTAATCATTTACCTCCGTAGACATGGAGAGCCTCAGCTGAAATTGTCATACAGTAGACACTTACCTCTGTAGAGGCACAGAGAGCCTTAGCTAGAATCACCCTACAGAAGACACTTACCTCTGTAGAGACAGAAGGAGTCTTAGTTAAAATCACCCTACAGTAATCGCTTACCTCTGTAGACATGGAGAGCCTTAGCTGAAATTGACATAAGTAGACACTTACCTCTGTAGAGGCACAGAGAGCCTTAGCTAGAATCGCCCTACAGTTGCCCTCCTGGTTATAGCTAAGACCAGATACTGTCAGTTTCACAAAGCTGTCCTGAGCTGCCACACTCACAATTTCCAACAAACTGAAAAAGACACACTCAACTATAAGGTCAATAGGCAGAATTAATCAATCTCAAGACATTGTTTTTTCAGACCTACATTGATTTATCACTGAAATGATATACAGAACTTAAACGTAAAACAAACTAAAGCTCACTAGTATTGTTGGAAGACAATTTTCTTTACTTTCAGACTGAATTTAAGCCAAAACTTACAATAAGTAGCTGACACAACGGCACTTGACAGTAAACCTTATAGTAGATTCCACACAGGCACCTGACTTTAAACGTTATGTTAGTAGATCCCACAGTGGCTCTCAATATCAAACTTACTACTGGTAGATGCTACACTTCTCCAACAGTTTGTCACCTTTGGCTGTGACAGATATCTTGCCCAAGAAGAGAAAGTAGAACTGACTACATGTGCTGATGGTGTTACTAGGACTGAGAACAGCTTCAGCAGCCAAGTGTTTGCTTCCAATCTATAACAAGAAATTATCCAAAATTTTAACATTTCTGTCAAATAGCAAGTTTAGATATATTTACATTAAATATGGGACATATTTTTTTAATCTAAAATCAATATTCATAATAATGACATGACGACAACAATATCCATCAACAATCAGTTTTAAAACAAGCATGTTGATAATAATATTTTCTAAAAACAGCATGACCTATATCATATCTATGTCAGTAACCTACACGTCTCTTCTTCGAATAAACAAAATCTCTAGAATTTCTCTGAACATTCAGTAATGAGCTTGAGGAAGGCAAAGAAATGACAAAGAGAAGATTCATCAAAGAAAAGAATGAAATGAAAGGAAAAATTGTCATCCCGTACATAAATGGGGTTATCAGAAACCATTCAGAGAATAGATGATGGCCATGGCATTGCAACAACCATGAAACCTCACAAGAAGGTCTGATATTCTTGTTCATCATACGTATAGAACATCTAAAGGTAATGTTGTGGAATGTGTATACAAGATGCAAAATCTTCAATGCATTGCAAGCTGGAGAAACTGGGAGTAGATGCAGTGTTTGACTAAATTAACACCAGAATGACATGAAAAAGACAGGAAACTCACCATAGTCCCAGATCAACAAATTGTCACTCACAGCGACAATCCAAAGTAGTAGATAGGGAAAACAACCTTTTCAGATTTGGATATGCTGCAGCAGAACAGCAATAAATGGACAAGGGATAAGGGGACCCATTGACTCTCACATGTCTACGACCAGGTGTTAACAAAGCTGCACCAACTTTTGTGTGAAAGTACAATGTCACCATCTTAGATATGTATTAAAGGTCACCAATTTCACCTGTTTTCACTTTTATCTTATCACCATCTTACATGCATACCTCACAGCAATTATGCCAGGTCATTTGTCTGATGAAGGTGTATGAATGAATGTATGAATTTTCTAAATAGATGCAATATTTAGACTTTCTATTTAGAATCTCTAGCACTCACCTCTGACAGGCACTGTCCTATGTCATTGATGAAGTCTACAAAAGGTTTCTTTATTTCCTCCTACAACACAGAAACACAGTACAGTGATCACTCGGTAAGTAGAAATTCCTCATAGAAATTACCAATACAGTTTACATAAAAACAAAGAGCAAAAAATATAAGAAAAGAAATAAGATGTGGTGAGATGCTTTTTGTTTTAATAGAAAACTGTATTTTGAACGTTGTCTAACATTTCACAATGAATTTTCAGAATATTTCACTTTCAATTATAGGTAAAGACAAGACAGATACTTGAACAGAGTTTAAATACTGGCTAAAATGTAAATGAGGCAATTCAAAATATTTATTTCAAAAGAGCATGCTTTAATATAATATACTAAAGTTTCTGTGAAATTTAAAACTCTTGTAAAACATAACTAGCCAATGATTCTAATGACAATTTGTTAGTACCTCCTAGATTACTAGTGTAATGTGCAGATGAAAGCAAATTAGAGAGGAACAACCGATTGTCATAGCCTCGAACAGAGATTTTACAACAGAATTGTGAATTAAAAGTGATATCAATGTGATTTATGACCACACCTACCTGGCCACACTCCATTAAAAACTCCATCAACAGACATCCAACATGAGCAATCTTTGTAGCCAACTTATGTCCAACGTCAAGACGAGAAAAGAGATGATTGGTGGGCTTGAAAAAGTATATCAACCGCTTCATAAACCTGTCAAAAATATGATGATTAAAGATATTACATCATCAAGAAAAACCTCTACAAAAAGAAAAATTAGTAATTAATTCTGAATCAGTAACAAGATATATAAGAACTTCTTTCTTTTCAGAAATGTTTTACTTGAGATAGGTGAATGTATGTAGTAGCTAATTGTGCTGTTTTAACAAAATATTAAGAGAAAAAAGTTACATGTTTTTCAAGGTTATTCTAGAAATGTGAATTTGATATAAAATGAAAACATCTTGAGCTTATCTTTCATCAATGTGTCACTTGGTATTATTGATGTAACGGTGATAGCTGCTTACCGAGACATAATCTGCTCATCTAACTTCTTTTGTTTATCTAGTGGCCACTGAAACATAATTACACCAATAACATATTACATATCTACTGTTTGTTTTGTCATTTATAATCTGTAACACTTTCTACAAATGTTTGTCTTCAGAAGCCTTTGTCATTTATGATATCATTGTTAACCCAACTGTACAATAATCGCAGGATCATCCTCCAAATGTGATGTATCTTTCTATCATATGAATATCTTTTATCAAACAACTGATATCTGTCACATGAACAAAATGCTTCAATGATTCAGGTCAGAGATCAATAAAAGTAAAGGTATCTTCTGACCAAAACACTTTCAATGATCAGAGTTCAAAGGTCAAAATATGATTTACAGTGTCCAAAAGTAAACGGTTTCATTGGTCAGAGTTCAGAGGTCAAAAGATGATTAAGTGCCTTCATGCCCACAGGAAAACTGTTTTGATGATCAGAGACCAGATATCAAATTGTAGATCAGTGTATTCTGTCTTGAACAAATTGCATCACTTCACCATTCCAAGAAGTATCTAACTGTATCCATATCTGAGATTGTGATATCCCAGGCACTATATCAGTACTACATCTTACCCTCTATCCTTGTAACGGCCAGTGATGAACAGTGCTTCCTCTTACCCTATGTTCTTATCTTCCCCCCTACCTTCAGGATTGAATTTACTAGCCCTGCCCCTTACCTATAGGATCAAGACTATCAGCCCTGTCCCTTACCTATAGGATCAAGACTATCAGCCCTGTCCCTTACCTATAGGATCAAGACTATCAGCCCTGCCCCTTACCTATAGGATCAAGACTATCAGCCCTGTCCCTTACCTATAGGATCAAGACTATCAGCCCTGTCCTTACCTATAAGGACCCCTTACCTAAAGGGTTGAGACTATCAGACCTCCCCCTTACCTGTAAGATTGAGTTTATCTGCCCAACTCCTTACATGTAGGATTGAGATAACCCCTTACCTACTGGATTGAGATTATCAGTCATATTCTTTACCTTCAGGATTGAAGCTATCAGGTCCCAGTCCCATATATAGTTGTCTTTGGTAAACAGGACCTGTGAGTCCTTTACAGTTTGTACCACCATGTCTTCTGATGACAGCTGCATTTGAAAAAAAACAGTAAAGATTTAATAATTTGCATTCCTTCATCACATACAGAAATCTTAAAACAGCATACTTACAGTAGCTGAAGTGTTGTGCATTTTGCACAAACAGTACATTGGATAAACTTTTTTTTTCAATTAAAATATTAAAAATCTAAATAAAAAGTGGAAGGAAAGTCTGATCCATAAAGAATGATCCGAGATATGCTTGCTTGTAACATGAAATTAATGTCATCATTACTGATCTTACCTTGTTAATGTAGTAAGAGTTGAGTCTGTTCTTGTTTTGGTGAAAGTGTTTGGAGAATGGTGACTTGCGGCCCCCCATGTTCTGTATGAGATGGTCCAGGTAGAGACTGCGGGGCACTATACCTCGTTTCTTCATGGAATGTAATCGGTCTAGGTAGGACACAGCTTTACATGCTCGACTGTAGAAACATAATTTCAAATGAGGTTAATTGTGCTAGTCAAAGATTAAACCCTGTTGAAATAAAATGATAAACTGTTTAAATAAATTAATTTTCATTGAGTTTGTGGGTAATCCATAAGTTCATATACATGCATTAGTAGCTTTTTTGAAAAAATCATAAAATTTGAGCCATTTGAAAATAAAAGACTTTACCATGGATATTTTGCCTGAGAGGCAACTGCAGTGTTAAAATACCATTTTAAATGATACCTATTATATATTCTACAAGACAATTAGGTGAATTACAGTCCCCACCAAATGTGTAATTATATGTGTATGAAAAACAAACTTTTTCTTTGATGTAGGTAAAAGGTCAAGGTCAAGTGACCTACTTTTTTTGACACAACATTAAGATGAACCAATACCTCTAGCATAAAAATCCCACAAATACTTTCAAAGATGTGGGTCAAGGGTAATAAAAATAGGTCAGAGTGACCTACTTTTGGTGAACCTATACCCAAAGTTTGACATTCTAGTGATGAAAGCCCACTTTTTCTTTATAAATACTTCAGAGTTACCTACTTTTGATATATTACACACCACCTCACCAAGGTTAACGCATTTCCAGTGACAATAAGTATAGGAGATACAGCCTGGACAAAACTGAGGCTGAAAGGACTGAGGGTTGGGGAATGATTATAAACAGACTTACTGCTGCTGCTGCTGAGGAATGTCTGCAGCAGAGGCCATGGCCATTAGAGTAGGAAGACAGTGGCTGTGATGGCTACACTCATTTGGTAGGAGGGTGCTTGCCTGTACAAAAAGTATCACAGATCTCAGTATCATGTGTATACCATCTAATGTAAAACTGGAACACAATTGTTTTAAATGTTACTCACAAAAAATTCATGATTTCCTTCACATATATCTAGCACGCAATCAGTATCGATGTGGCTATAAATCAGATCATGTTTATGATAAAGTATGCACAAAAGGCACAATCACTGAAAAGAAATGATTTAAACACACAAACTCCTCACCAACAAAACTTGCCATCAACACTTTAACACAATGTTCAGTGTTTTCTTGTACACAAAAATCAAATATTATACATGAAATAAAATTCCATGTCCATGGTAGAATGTCAAAAATTAAAATATCTTAAAGATGAGGAGGAAATGACAATTGATCACTAACCTGTTGGTAGAGTATGTAAAATATTTACTTACCATGTGCATCAGCTGACCCAGAAGTATGGTAGTCCTGATAAATAGCTGATCATCACTGCTGATAACAACTTCCACCAAAGCCTAAAACCCAAAATTATAATCTCAGCATGATCAGAGGAAGTGTGAGAAAGAAAGAAAAGATAGTACATTTAGAAAAATGACATATTGCATAATTATGGTGGTAATACTGCGGCATTATTTTCAAATAAATGACATTCAATTGCCACACACTGTTCCAGATGCCTATAACAACTGCCTCTGTCTACTTACATCAAAGATACCAGCACCAATCCATGCAGACAGCAGCAGTGCTAAATGATTTTCTACAAGGTTAGGTCTGAAATATCAGTAAAAACACAATAAATTCAAAATATTTTTCATACAAGTCATCTAGAATCTCTAATTAGCATAACCAAAACAGAAAATAGCCATCAAATTTCTCATTGATTTGGGAGACAAAGCGTGTATTATTTTAAATTTAACCTTTGTAGCACATTTTCCATCTGAAACTTCAACACGAAACTAGTCATGCTTAATGAAACAATATATATATTGTATATTTATCCTTTACATATATGTTGCATTCTTTGGCACTAACCTAATTTTGGCCATGTGTGGTAGTAGTGATCGACCTTCCTCACATATGAATCCATCTGTCAGACGCCAGCTGTCTCGCATCATGGAAGGATCTGTAATACAATTTTACCATATCAAGCAACATCTTTTTTACCCAGAATTTTCCTGAAAAAGCGATCAGATGTATTATTGGGCCTCTTGAAACAATCACCAGTCAATTCCCCTCCTTAGTCTATTATTTACTTGATATAGAATATCTACCTCTGATTTTTCAAAAATTCTCATTATTAAATAAAAAATTATACAACTAAAAAATATCAAATCAGCAGTTCATTAATTTTCCTTTCTCTCCTTAACATTTTCTTTGTTACATTTTTCCACTCAAACAGTTTAACAATCGATAGGTATTTTGAATGTAGTGTTGTCCTTGCAATAACGGATAGAAAATTTTCAATTTAAATGAATTACCAGAATTTGGAATTTATTAAAAACACTAGACAGATAATTGTAAATTGTAAACTGGAAGAATTTAGAGCTAGTTACAAGTATGGAATTCTATAAATAGTACTAACCAACACTCAGCAAGGCTGCAGAGAAATTGTCCGTCCACTCAGGTACTTGAAGACGAAATAAATCATACAGGATCTCTATAATGCCTTGCTGTAATGAAAACGTGAACAGACACTTAACAAGTAGTAACTTAGCAGGTGATTAAGGATGTACATAACAAGGCAGTGCCTAATTACCGATGGACATCGTGCAACACATTTAATACATCATAAAAATACCCATTTAAACATTCTATGGTGATTTTGAGAAATATGCCATGACATGTTGTTGATAAAGGCAGAAAGGTACCTTTTGTAAATGATATTTACATCATGGGGTATGTAATCACTAGTGGTCAGGTGGTGCAGTGGTAATGCACTCGCCTTTCACCTAGAAGTCCGGGGTTCAATTCCCGAATTGATGTGAAAAGGTATGGGGTCACCTGCCCGACTACGTGGGTTTTCCCCAGGTACGCCAGTTTCCTCCCACACTAAGACCCCTCATGCGCTTCCATCCGAGCCAACAAAAGTGATTAATATAAGCTGGAAAAACTTGCTTCGCAATTGTTGTAAAATAAATAAAGTTTATCATTTTTATCACTAGTGACATACATGTTATAACAACAAGTATGGAGACTTTGTTCATAAATTCATAAGTAATTAATGTAAACATGGTTGTTGCATAACTATTACAAATTAAGTTTAAAAGTATTAAAAGACAAAATGACAGACTTACCCTAATCTCATAATATGGCAGATATAATATTCCTACTAAGGACTGTAAGCCACTTCCGTCTGGACGACAAAATCTTATAATACCTACAAAAATAGTATTTCATACTCAACAACCCAATCAACTCATTCAGTGACAGTCATATAAAAATTATTATAAAAAACATTAAAATATTGTAACCAAAACAATCAGGGTTTTTTAACAACTGATAAAGACAACTGGTATTGTTTGCTATGAAAGAGGATATTAACTTTTGATAATTAAGTCTTTCAAAAACTTGTGATTACTTGCCTGGCCAAGACCTCATAATGGACACTACAGCCATCTTACTGGCGGCAAACCGATTTTCTTTATCATCTCTGCAATGACAAATCCATTAAGTATATGGTTACAATATGTTAACCTTGTTTTGAATGTCATAATATCTATCACATAAACCTTGTTATCCCACATAATTAATATCTGGAAGGTGCGACATGATGTAGGTTCTGAGCATCTCATATCTTAATGGTATCATAGATTCCAACCAGCGAGAAAATATTTTAATCTATTGAATCATTTTAAATAAGATTCAAATACTACGACCAGAAAGATATGAAGCAAACTGAACAGAAATTGTAGAAGGGACATAACTCCAATGGATGTAATCAAAATATGAAATACATCATATCAATGAGCTGGGCTAGGTATACATCACTTGTACCTGGTTTCATAAATATTGGTCAAAATATAAATCTTAGTACTTCAGACAAAATTTATAACTGAAATTCATGGAAGGATCCTAACTCCAAAATAAAAAAATAACAGCCAACAAACAACTACTCAATATATAATATATGCACCAAATTTTATCAAATGACAAGTGAAAGTGATTAGGGACTTGTATAGAAATTGTACGATCAAATAAGAAATGGGCCCATATGCATATTTTGAAAATATCAGTTCCAGTCTGTTGATATTCATAAAACATTTCTTCATAATATAAAAAGCTATTATAATTGATGCATGAATTGTTATAATTAGGAGAGGTGTTTTTATATTGAAAAGTAACATGCATCTTAATGGAATTTCAAAAGGAGCAAATCAATCCATCTGCTCTTAAAAATTTTGATTTACAAGGCAATGTTGCAATTAGCCAGTGTTTATCATCTATTACCATATCTCTTTAAGCAAAATTATTTTGATTTTCCTATCAATTGTTGGCTTCTTCGAACGATCACCAGTACCATTTTTAATTTTGTGGTAAAGAAATTTAAGGTATATAGATTCAGTAGAATTACATTCGTTTTTAAAAACTATTCGTTCTTACCCAGAGTGATCTGAAGTCTCTGCTCCACTGTACCGGTAATGACAATCAGTGAATGGTGCCAATAGTTGCTGAAAATATGGCATATGAATTATTTAATCTGAAAGCAATGAATAAAAAATAATAGTTCTCAATTATCATATCACTAAAGCTTTAACAAGGTAAGTACAAGCCAGAGCTACCTCTAGATCAGTGTTGAACTTGATCAGATGCCTGGTTCGTGGATGGTTGAGAAGGTGCAGTATTGTGCAGACTAGACTTTCATTGATCCTGGGATATTGGTGACAGTCTAAAGCAGCCCTCAGGATACTCCCAACACCACCACATTTAGCTATCAGTTCTGGGTTCAGGAATGCTACAAAATAAATACAGAATTACTCGCATCATGACACAAAAATTCAAACACAGATACATGTATTGCCATTTTTCAAAAAGCTGATATACACGTCTTGTTTGCCCTTTTATTTTTATTTTTTTAAAGCTTTACAGCAGAATCACTGTACAGGTCTTCTAAAACAAATTTGAAAATAAGACCCATGTTCTTAGTAATTTCTTCATGACAATCTCTGCCCAAAGGAATTCCTCAAAAACAGAAGTAAGATTTTTTTACCTCAAACTTATTTTTACTCAAGACACCTTTTTTTAATACATGTACTTCATTGTTTGCTTGTGACAAAGGAATTTCTTAAAAATGAATTCAGATTTTTTTAACTCAAATTT